ATCGGCACAACACAGGCGGTTGTGGCGCGGACGCTGAATGTTTCTCAGTCTGTCATAAGCAGGCTATGGTCCAGATACCGTGATACACAATATGTACAGGACAGACCACGCTCAGGTCGACCAAGGGCGACAACTCAAGCCCAGGATCGATTTATCCGTACCTTGGCCTTGAGAAATCGTGTCATCACAGCAAATCACATCAGCGCTCGTCTTCAAACAGACACTGGTGTGAGAGTGAGTGGCCAGACGATTCGGAATCGACTGCATAGGGGTCACCTTCGCGCCCGACGTCCTCGCGTGATCCCTTGTTTGAGAGATCATCACATTCAGGCAAGACGTCGTTGGTGTAGGGATCGTCAACACTGGGATAATCGACGCTGGAGCAATGTGATGTTTTCAGATGAGTCACGGTTCACTGTTGATTTTTTGGACAGACGTAGGAGGGTGTGGCGTCGTCGAATCGAGCGCTTCCAAGACGTTAACGTCATCAGACATGATCGATTTGGGGGTGGTTCTGTTATGGTGTGGGGAGGCATCACTGTTGCTGGAAGAACGGCTTTACATGTTGTTGCAGGGCGTGTTACAGGCCAGTACTACCGGGACAACATCTTGGCAGTCCATGTTGTGCAGTTCGCACGACGTCATGGCCGCCGTTTCATCTTCCAGGATGACAACGCAAGATGTCACAGGGCCAGGATCGTTACAGGTTACCTCCAACAACAGAACATCACCACATTACCTTGGCCAGCACTGAGTCCCGACCTCTCCCCCATCGAGCATGTCTGGGACATGCTTGGACAGAGGTTACGTCAACGTCAACAACGTCCTGCCAATGTCCAAGAACTTGCTGCTGCGTTGCAACAGGAATGGGACAATCTGGACCAAAATGACCTTAGACGTCTCATTAGGAGTATGCCACGTCGGATCAATGCTTGTTTGGCAAACAGAGGAGGATTTACCCGTTACTGACTTGGTTGTGATGCTGTGGTAACTTTGCTGTTTGACCCCGGGTATCATTTTACCCTTATAATGGTCAGTCTGTGCCTTACTTAGTCTAACGATCATTTGGAATAAATCGATGAATGTGAACTTCATTTCATTTTGTCATTTGTTTCTTCGTCAGTTTCATTAGGTGACTTTAATAACACTTAAAAATCAAATATCCCCTACTTTTTTTGAATAGTATATTACAGTTATTGGTTTAAGGGTCATGTCAATGTCATTGAAGAACAAAGTAGCTACGTACAAAAATCAAAACATATTTACCCCAAAGTCGATTTCTTGAAAACAGTTTTTTTGATTTCTATTTCATTAACCGTGTAGCCTTCCTTGAGAGACAAATTGGCAAAAGAAAACCACTATATTATATGGTTGTAATTATGTCATATTGGTTTTGTTTGGTTTTAAAGTGTGAAGATGCTGAGGCCTACTTAATTGTAAAGTTCAACTCGGGTGCTCCCCTTTCCCCTACTTTTAAATCATGATTTCAAGAATTGTAATTAACTGTGGGAACGATACTATAATCTATATATCTGTCGCTTGAAAAGTGAGTTTCTAAAATAAGGTACATATCTAATTTCCCCTTGTTTACATTTATTTTCTTTCATGTAAAACATATTGTTGAAATTTTTAGTATTGGGACAGTGAATTTCAGTAGTTGTTTTCCGTCAAATTTCCCACAAGCGACCTACTTGAGTTCACAAAGTAAATAAGAGTATGACATTTTTGGTATTGTTGAAATTTTTAGTATTGGGACTATGAATTTCAGTAGTTGTTTTGCGTCACATTTCCCACAAGCGACCTAGTTAAGTTCAGAAAGGGGACGTACGGAGGTGTAATTGTCTTCACTACAATAGAAAATTCTCTCTGATTAACATATGATATAAAACACAAATTTATATGGAAAACAATTACTGGGTTTATTTCACACTACATTACTTACTTGAGAACGACAAGAGGAACTTATTGAAACGTAGTGTGAAATAAACCCAGTGATTGTTTGCCATATAGATTTGTGTTTTATATCAGATGTTCAGTTACTAAATGCCGTATAAGGATTTCATTAACATCTGAATTTATCATTATTTGTCAATTTTGTATAATCTTTCAATATTTCTATTTAAAGGGAACATCCCGGATTTTAACAGAGTCTCAGAAACAAAAGTGTACGTATGAAATTTAAGCGCCAAAATATAGAAGAATGGTACCTTTACTTTGTCTCAAAATTTCAGTTTGAAATATTGAGAAGTTTGACGCAACGCCAAAACCGCTTTACCGGACACGTAACCCTTTTAAGATTTCGGGTCAATTTTTTTGGGTTGGGTGACCTGATAACCTATTGCCGTATAGAGGTCTATACACCACGTGGTGTACTTGATAGCGAAACATACACTTCACCTACACGTTATTTTCTATAAATAAAAGTCTAGTTTTATCCATGCAAACACCGTATAATACTGGTTGGGACACGGGTCTCCGTTTCCAGATGAAGACTGACTGGTTTAAGTTGTTTGAAAACGTATCACGTAATCACGTTAAGAGCTTTTAACACAAAATTAAGCAGTTTTATTCTCCAAAATATAATCGAGATTGGCCCTTTAAATAAGACCCCATACCTGGGCCGGTCACCTGGAAGATGAAACTGTAATTATTATTCTTAATTGAGTTGTTCGCATCACGCTATATTAAATATAATATCGTTTATTATATAAAAACATGAGATATATTTAATATAATATCGTTTATTATATAAAAACATAAACAGTATATTTGTAATTATCAAGCTTCAAAGACCTTAACTACAATGAGTTCGCTCCGCCTGGAACTTGGCTGATTTTCTTTTTCATTTCTAACAAATCGTTGTTGGAAATATTGTGTGAACATATGAAACTGCACCAAAGAATGTGACATTCTCTTTTAATGCAACGAATGTCATTTCTAGTCGACTTTGCCTTGTGTTTTTGCTCTACATAATCGCTTGAAAGTGTCACCAAAATATGCTTTCCTCGATACGCCCGACGAGACTTTGGTTTGGCTGAACCCTACCCCACCCCTTTTGTAAAATCCCTTGTATCCTCCCTTGTATCTAGGCCCGTAGACAGAGTTATTGTGGTTTTTTTTTTGGGGGGGGGGGGGGGGTAGGCGGCAGGAGGGGAGGGGGGGGGGGGTCAGTCACAAACAAGGAAGGCCGCGGGCTTTTTTCCGTACATCATCCGTAAACTCTCGGTCGTTGCTTCAGGAACATGCATCCTTTGCGTCTCGAAAATTTCTTGCACTTTGTTGGGGTGGGGGTGGGGGGCATAAATCGAAAATATATATAATTATAGACAGCGTAAGTTGGGTATGCGAATAGTGTGTGAATTATAGAGAAAGGGGGATGTATGTTGTTAAAAATAAATAAGGGGAGCTTAGTGGGTAAGATACTGGCTCGCGTACCAGGAGCTCTCGTGATCGCTCGCGTTGTTGACCGAGACGGTTCATCTGGATTTTCCTGATTGGTTGGTTAGCCTTTGTCAGTGGTAAGGAACAGAAAGTGTGCAAAACCGAGGTCCCGTGGACCTAGAAAAACCCCTTACAGTCGCAATTCGAAATAAGAGTAGTTAGTGATGCTGGGCCGGATGATAAAGGAACCCTTGATAAGTGTAGGGATGTGGTTTAATGCACAGGTTGATTCCATTTTATTGAGGAGTTTGAAGAGAGAGAGAGAGAGAGAGAGAGAGAGGGAAGGAGAGAGAGAGAGAAAGAAATGGGGTTTAACGTCCACTCGACACAAACAAGGTCATTTCGGAACTAAAATATGGTTTAATTTTATTTCAATTATTCGCTTGCGCGTAGGGGTCTTTAGCAGTAGGAGGAAACCGGAGGACCCGAAGAAAAAACCCACGAGATTGGACAGGCGAACCTACGTACAACTGGGGATTCGAAACCACGCCAGTTGACTCAATGACAGACCTTATGATACAGCGCGAACCATTCGGCCACTCAACACCCCTGGGGAGTTTTGAATGCAGTGCGAGATGTGGGAAATTGACCAAGCATTCATTTGCGTGTATGTACATGGACAGGGGGCGGACTGTCTAGCTCTGTGTCCTCGGATCAATTTTTGTTTTGTTTTGTTTTGTTTTTTTTTTGGGGGGGGGGCATCGCCGTGAAGAATGCGTGATTAGAAAACGAAACTAGCTAGATTCACTATTCCCACACCCCACTCATATACCATTTTTCTCCTCAGATTTAAACCATTATATTTTACAATACAAGCGAAGATGAATTTTATTTATTTTGAAAAAAATATATGTTAATTTTTTATTCCTGACCCCTCTGGATCCTCGGACCCCGGCCGTCCGACCCTCGAGCCCTCGTCCACCCCTGAACCTTCAGTTCGTTAAATCCAAACAACGCGCTCTGTTCCCGTCAACCAAGAAGGACCACTCTTGAATAGCAGTCTGTTAAATAGCCGAGGGTTGGGGCTGGAGTGGTCGGCCGAATGGTTAACACGTGCACGTCGATCATAACATTTATCACTGAGTCAAGTGGCGTGGTTTCGATTCCCAGCTTCTATGTAAATAGGGTCGCCTGGCCAACCTTGTGGGTTTTCTCTGGGTCCTCCGATTTCCACCCACTGTTAAAGACCCCTACAAGCAAGCGAATTATTGAAATAAAATTGAAGTATAGGTTAGTTCCGAAATGACCTAGTTTGTGTCGAGTGGACGTTAAACCCCATCTCTCTCTCTCTCTCTCTCTCCCTCGCTCTCTCCGAAATGACCTAGTTTGTGTCCTACCCCAACAACTAGACACAGTTCCTTGTTAGGCCCTCCATCCTGTACAACTGACAAGTGGAAGCAACACAGGAAGATCCCCAAGCAGCCCCCTCGACCAGCAACGAGGGGAAACCCGAGACCCCATGCCAAGCGAGGCTCCATTAAGTACACTGTAAGTCCATAACCATAAACCTAGATTTACAGCAAATTTATATCTGTTTCTACAGAAAACAAATAAAACCGTTTGAGTGGCATCCATTATATTTTATTTAAAAAACGTACAGCTAAAGTATGATTGATATCTGAATATAAACCTTGATTCATATCTGGACAGGTTCGCATTTACCTACTTGTGCACCATAGTCCAAACTCATACATCATGTAATGGCTAAATCTACCTAAGGCAGATCTTCTGTTAGGCCTCAAGCATTATATTAAAACACTAATTAGAAATCTATTCACATGCTAAGCCCATAATCAACTTTCTAGATCATCCGATGGTTTTGATTTTCAACGAATTTAAACACGATTGCCAGTTAATAATTTAATTTAAAAAAATGGATAATCAAGACTTTGTTTTTTTATTGTAACAACGGTAATAATGACACTCGGGACTACACTGTTCTTCAAACGGCCATTACAACATTGCACAGAATGAAATTGTCAATATATTCCCTTTCCATTATCTATTGTATTGTTTTAACTAATATCTAAATCTTAAATTATGCATCTTTAAACCGTGGGAAATTGGGAGATGCTAATTGAAGGCCAAAATGGCCGCTTTATATAAATGAGTATTTTGGGAAATTCTAACCCGAACCCTAACCCTAAAACTTTTAAGAGGGGTTATAGGTAAATTGGATCCGATTTCAGTCTTCTAAAAAGGGTTAGGTTTAGGGTTCGGTTTAGTATTCCCCAGAATTCTCATTTATATAAAGCGGTCATTTTGGACTCCGGAAACATCCGAACCTCCGCAACCGGCCTACAATTAGCATTTTCCTGGGAAATTTCATATTCTAGAGATAAATCCAAATGACGCACCGTCACTTTAACTTATAGTACAGCGCTTTGTTGCAATACCAGAAAGAACGCCAACAAGTACAGTACCAACAGTCTTGAGTATAGTTTTAAGAATCCCATCTTTCGGCGACGACTCGACCTCTTCACGCACCTGTTGACGAGTATCAGAATTCCTCAGTGCTTGTAACTCAGCCTCTAGTCTCCTCTTCTCGTTCTCATGCTCTTGTGTTCGCCTGGAAGCAGATTCTTCGATTTCTCTCTCCCGTTGTTCAAGTTCTTCGTGTCTCTTTTGGAGTTCTCTTTCCCTTCTATGTTTTTCCTCGTCGATTAACCTCATTTTTTCGTTGAGTGCCTCCTCTGCCGCTCTGTACATCTCTCCCGTATAGTAAGATCCGCCATTTTCATGAATAGTTCTCCTCACCATATTAATAATTCCATCAACATCTGCTTGAACTTCGGCGTCATCTGCACGATTATTTATGGTGACGCAGCGTGAACGACATCGTTGAACTAATTCGCTGAGCTCCGGTGGAACTCTCTTCAGATAATCGGCCAATGTTAGCTTCTCGAACGTCAGAGATTCTTTACCAGTGAAGACGATTACAACATGGTTGATGACATCCTCTCCAAAGACAGCTACCAGATGATTTACGGTATCCAACTCCTCCTTGGTGAATCGGCTGATGCTGAGGACAAAGAGAAAGGTGTGGGGACCGGGTGAAGACAGGCCGATGCACCGGACTATTTCCATAGTGGTTTCCTCGTTACTCTTTCTGGTGTCGAAAATCCCTGGTGTATCGACGATGCAGATCTTGGTACCATCACGAAGATTACCTTGCGCAAATTTACATTTAGACGTGACGGACATTCCAATAGTGCTTGATTCAAAGTGATGTCTTCGAAGCAAGCTGTTCCCCAACGCACTTTTTCCCACTCCCGTTTTACCGACCATAACCATTCTGATTTCTGAAATGGAAAGAAAAATCATAATTATATGAGAGAGAGAGAGAGAGAGAGAGAGAGAGAGAGAGAGTTTAAAGTCCACTCGACACAAACTAGGTCATTTCGGGACTAACACACAGTTCAATTATATTTCAATAATTCGCTTGCGCATAGGGGTCTTTAGCAGTGTGTGAAAATCGGAGGACACGTAGAAAACACACGCGGTTGGATAGGCGACTCCTCTCCTGGTCACGTACAACCGGGAATCGAAACCACGCCAGTTGACTCAATGACAGACCTTAAGATACAGCGCACACGTGCTAACCATTCGGACCCCCCCCCCCAATTATATGAACCTTGTATTATGATAACAACAAAAGCTATAGATGTTGTGGGTGGGGGAGGGGGTGTCCGGATGGTTAACGCCTTAACAGGTTTAATACCATTTCTCGGTGTAAAGATTTGAGAGTACAGGATGAACAAGACTAATATGATCCGTATAGATAAAATAGGACTGGTTAGTAAAGGCTTGTATCGCTGACACAGATGTGGTGTTTTATGTGACAGGTCAATAACTAAGACGACTTCACGCAGACGGCGGAAATTTCGTTAGCTAATAATTTTGTTATGATAGGACTGGGTAGAGGTGGGTAGTTGGGGCATCATTCCAGGTGTGCACCCAGTCAAAGAATTGTGTGGAGGGAGCATCATTCGATTGGTGTACCAAATCAAAGAAATGGGGTTTAACGTTCAACTGCTCCGAACTGGGCTAATGAAGACGGGCATACGCCATACAGTGTGCTATGATAGAAATGTTGCCCGGTCAGCGGCACTACGGCTTACTCGTATATCGAATTCCAACTGCCAAATGATCTTTTACGTGCACGTCAATGTGTACATGGGACCTCGGTTTTTCGTGCACGCCATCCGAACGACTAGACAGCTGTAATTGTAAGGCCCTCCGTCCTGCATCACTCCAAATCAAAGAGCGACAGTAAAACTGGTCTCAGGTAGCAAACTATGACGTAATTATCAGAAATAATTCAAAACTGATTGGCTTCAGTTCTTCCTGGAGATAACGTTCATTATACCAAACATATAGCGGTAAGCAAATGATAACTTTAGTTGTTCGAAATATAGAATTCTTAATCATCTCACGAATTCTTAATCATCGCATGAATTCTTGATCATCGCATGAATGTAAACAATGTGTCTAAATTTAAAGTCTATTGGATGATTATCATTAGCCTACAGAATGTCCACAATAAATGGCTGGTGACAGATCGACGGGTGGACGAATGGACGACTCGCCGAACAAAGAGGGCGACGACAATATAAGGCAGTATAAAGGTTGCCAACTTTTTCACATACCATGGGCCAATTTTTTTATACACGAATTAAGATGTGCCATACTACTTACTATTGTGCCCCCTCTGTTCTGGTAACAAAATTAAGAAGAAACGAAACGAAATTAAGAAAAAAAAAAACGAAACGAAATTTCACCTACCATTATTTATACTGGATGCCGCCATAATTTTTTAATCTACAAAATAAAAAATGAAGTTCAGCAAATAAATTTATTGGTGTAGGTGGATAGTGTAGCACCATGGTCGTTTGCCATATATGGAAAGCGGGCCGAGCAAATCCGGTCGCCAAATCCTTCGTATGACTCATGCACTCTATTCTTACTACAGATCTTAATAACCCTGTGATCGTCTGGTATTTTTAATTCTCTTCTTTGGCTCCCTTTTCACGTTGTGTATTTTCTTCTTACTATCTCGGTAGTTAAGACGTTTGTCTTCTCAGTAGTTAAGACGTTTGTCTTACCAGGAATAACAATGTATCAGTTCGTTTTTACATTTTATACACCAAGCACTGATTACATAAGATACAAGTATAGATTACAATAAAGTTATTCTCTCAATCCCAATCCACCCAGATTCGCTGGGAGTCTGCTGATAGAAATTGCTACATCTTTTCCCTCTGGAATTTAGCGGCTGTCTGACGAATGCCCCTTCGTTCGCTCCTTCCTAGAGTTTTACGTCCACTTCCACCATAGGTGATATCGTAGACAAGACGAATGCCCAGAGATATGTAGCTTTGGGTTTGGACCTTCAATTCTCTAATTGGTCAAATATGACGTAATTAATTATATTGATTGGTTAAATAGCCTAATGACGTCCAAAACCACCCTTATATGGACATTGAAAACGTACCACCAGAAGTGTCACACGTGTTATTTTTTTTATTAACCCATAATTAAATGTTTACCAAATTATAACTCTTTTTATGTCGAAATTCGTCACTCATTATTTGAGTGCACGAGATCTGACTTTTATAGAATATGTGAATCCAATAATTAGTTTAAGATACATTATGTAAGGTTTAGATAAAGAGCTAATAGTTCTTGCTATAATAGTTAAAGATACATTATGTAAGTTTTAGATAAAGAACTAGCCATTCTTGCTATAATAGTTAAAGATACATTATGTAAGATTTAGATAAAGAGCTGACCATTCTTGCTATACTAGTTAAAGATACATTATGTAAGATTTTGATAAAGAACTAGCCATTCTTGCTATAATAGTTAAAGATACATTATGTAAGATTTAGATAAAGAGCTAGCCATTCTTGCTATAATAGTTAAAGATACATTATGTAAGATTTAGATAAAGAGCTAGCCATTCTTGCTATAATAGTTCGGAAATAGATAATGTTAAATGAATAATTTGAAAATTTCATTCAAAATACTCTATTGCGAGCGAAGATATTAGCCTTTGAAGGTTTGACAAGACATATGCAATAATTTCAACCATGGTACTGGTTGTTCGAAGCTATGTCTCGCTCCTCCATTTTTAAATTAAACCAAAATAGGACTGAATCGTTCTAATCTATTTAATATCGGAGAAATCCGATGCCATCAAGAGTTGCTTATGGCCTGGATCAATTAATTAATGTCTAATTAATAAAGAAAGATTTGCAATAGTCAGATTTATCTCTTGCATAATGTATGTTTAAAGATACAATATAATGTTATATATGGGGCTGGAACTAAATACGAGAACAACTGGTCAGGTTTCTAATAAGTTTATAGTTGTTAAACGTAACTAAAGAACTGACTGTTTCTTGGGTTTATATGTCGTACGTTACCAACTCAAAAACAAACCTTCTCGGGTGCTACCTACTAGCGAGCCACGGTGGATTAGTTGGTAAGACGCTGGTTCGCTAGCCTGGAGGTCGCGTGTTCGATCCCTGCATTGGCCGAGAAAATTCATCGGGATTTTCCGACGTGATTCCCCCTTGTCAGTGGTGCAGGACGGAGGGCCTAACAAGGACAGCTGTCTAGTCGTTCGTATGGAACTAAAAACCCGTGTATACATTAGCGTGCACGTAAAAGATCCCTTGGCAGTTGGAATTCTATATAAGAATAGACCATAGTGCCGCTGCCTGGCTAAAATTTCCCTCATAGCACACTGTATGGCGTATACCTATCTTCATTAGCCCTATCAGAGCAAAACAGTAGGATGTTAAACCCCATTTCATTTCATTTCATTTGCTACCTACTACATGTATACTCTATACCTCAAAGGGGTTAATCCTATTAATTAAACAATTCTAATTAATTCATAATAACACAACTTTATAGATTTACTATTTCTTGGTTTATTACATGCAACGTTTCAATACTCTTACAGGTATCTTTATCAAGCAATGATCAATAATGAATAACAACCTTACATTTATAGTACATCCACGAGTAAAACAATTTAACAGTAAAAACATAGCATTAATTGAAGACATAATGGAAGATTAGATAAAGAGTTGGTAGTTCCCACTATAATAGTTAAAAAATAGATAATATAAAGGGAATTTGCTAAAAATTTCAATCAAATTGATCCACTACGAACAGAGAATTACGCCTAGCCTTGATCATCATTACTAAAGTCGGTACGATAAAAAACATAGTCTCGATTATCCATTTTTGATTTAATCAGAAGCAGCAGAACGGGTTCTAATCCAGTAAATATCGCAGGCTAGTCATGACATCGATAGTTGATTATGGTCTAGATTTAAGTTAATTAATGTCTGATTAATAATTTAGATAACATTTCAGGCCTAAAGAAAGACCTAAAATAGGCAGATTTAGCTCTTGCATAATGTATGTTTAATTTAAAGAGCAATAATCTTACAATAGTAAATTAACATCCGCTTCCAACCATTTTAATATCGCAGACAAATTGTCTTATTTTATTTTGTTTAGTGATTGCGCCTTTCCTGTGGGAAGAAACCTGAGTACCCGGAGTAAAGGTACGAGTTTCAGCAACCAAGTCAAAACGGGTACCGTGTCACCCCATATGGCGTGTAATGGAAACCGAAATCAATCTAAAGTTTCCGCCTAACTGTCGACCAATGGCATGAGTTGTACTATATATCCTCTCCAGGAATAGAACATGAAAATGAAATGAAATGTTGTTTATTTTCTTCAATAGGCAAAAGGCCTATATAAGTTCTCTCCCAATATATCTGAATTGGATTGAACAACAGGCAAAAGTTTGTATAAGTTCTCTCCCAATATGTAACATTACATCATTAAATCTTATGTTTACAATAAACGAAATGCGATCGGGTTTAACGTCCTACTGGTCTCCTCCGATTGGGCTAAAGAAGACGAGCATACGCCATACAGTATGCTATGAGGGAAATTTTGCCCGGGCAGCGGTACTATGGCCTACTCTTATATCGAAACTCAACTGCCAAGGGATCTTTTACGTGCACGCCGATGTATACACAGGACCTCGGTTTTCCGTCCCATCCGAACGACTAGAGAGAGCGAGAGAGAGAGAGAGAGAGAGGGGGGGGAGATGGGGTTTAACGTCCACTCGACACAAACTAGGTCATTTCGGGACAACCATATGGTTTAAATTTATTTCAATAATTCGCTTGCGTGTAGGAGTCTTTAGCAGATGGAGGAAACCGGAGGACCCGGAGAAAACCCACGAGGTTGGACAGACGAAATGAAATGGGGTTTAACGTCCAACTGTTCTGTTCCGATGGGGGCTAATGAAGACGGGCATTACGCTTCATTAGGACATTTTGCCCAGACAGCGGCACTACGATCGACTCTTATAACGAATTGCAACTGTCAAGGGATCTTTTACGTGCACGCCAATGTGTACACGGGACCTTGGTTTTTGTCCAAGCCAAACGACTAGATAGCTGTCAATGAAATTAAACTGTGAACTTACCGTGTGCGTGTGCTTATCGCGTGTCGTGTAAATTGATCATATCATATAACTATAACTGCAGGAACCAATGTCGTATGCTTGAATAAAATCACTATCTAGATGCACGCTGTTATATCAGTGTGTATACACTAACTACCGTACATGTATACAGGGGCCTGTTTCACGAGATTTTAACTAAGATAAAAATCCACATTTTAGTAATTTGATTGGATAATATAAGATTGATTTTTGTGCTTAGCCAATCAAAATTGAAGTATCTACTAAAATTGGATTTTATCTTTAGTTAAGATTTCGAGAAACAGTGCCCTGAACTATTATTAATAACATAGCTACGTTATAGGGGAATTCTATTTCGTAAAATTGGTGGGGTTTTTCATTGACATCATACATGTATAAATAGACCGCTCACGCCTTATGATAGGTCAGGGCCGTCATGACACACATCTTATAGAATATGTGAATCCAATAATTAGTTTAAGATACATTATGTAAGATTTAGAGAAAGAGCTAGCCATTCTTGCTATAATAGTTATATTAAAGATACATTATGTAAGATTTAGATAAAGAACTAGCCATTCTTGCTATAATAGTTATATTAAAGATACATTATGTAAGATTTAGATAAAGAGCTGGCCATTCTTGCTATAATAGTTAAAGATACATTATGTAAGATTTAGATAAAGAGCTAGCCATTCTTGCTATAATAGTTCGAGAATAAATAATGTAAAATGAATAATTCGAAAATTTTATTCAAATTACTCTATTGCGAGCGAAGAAATAAGCAAAGGCCTATATAAGTTCTCTCCCAATATATAACATCATTAAATCTTATGTTTACAATAAACAATGCTAGACTGTGTATATGTATAGGTAGTGAGTTATAAATATATATATATATACAATACTTGGAGTGTAATGGTAACATATATATTCCTTTAAATGTTAAAGTATTAAAATCTCTTGCTATCTTTCATGTATTTTTGCACAATGTCAAATATTTTAGAATTGATATTATATCGAATTATAAATGCCAAGGGATCTTTTACGCACGCAAAAGGTGTACACGGGTCCTCAGTTTTTCGTACCATTATAGAGTTTGTAACAGACTAAGGCATTAGTAAGCTAAATATATTGTGAAATGAAATGAAATGTGGTTTAACGTCCTACTGTTGTGCCCCGAACTGGGCTAATGAAGACGGGCATCCGCCATACAGTATGCTATGAGGGACATTTTTGCCCAGGCAGCTGCACTATGGCCTACTCTTATATCGAATTCCAACTACCAAGGGATCTTTTACGTGCACACCAATGTATACACGGACCTCGGTTTTTCGTCCCATCCGAACGACTAGACAGCTGTTCTTGTCAGGCTAAATACATTGTAATGTAATTCAGTTAAAATTAAAATGTCAGCTTACCGTCTGCTTATCGTGTGTCGTGTAAATTGATTATATAACTATAACTGCGTGAACTAATGTCGTCTGCTTGAATGGAATCAATATCTAGATGCACGCTGTTATATCAGGGTGTATACGCTAACTATACAAAACTATTATTAGTAACATAGGTTTTCTCAGTATGACTGTATTATTGGAGAATTCTATTTCGTGAAAATAGATGGGTTTTTTTTTGTTGGTGTTTACCTGAATATAAAACTACTGCAATTATTCATCGTCAAAGAGTAATGTTTTTTTTTTATGAATTGGGGTTTAACGCCCTACTGTTACGCTAACTATACAAAACTATTATTAGTAACACAGCTTTTCCCATTATCACTGTATTATTGGGGAATTCTACTTCGTGAAAATCGAGGGGTTTTTTTTGTGCTTACCGGAATGTAAAACAAGTATAATAATTCACCGTTAAAGAGGAATGTTTTTTTTATGAATTGGCGTTTAATGTACTGTATTTTTATGAATGAAATGAAATGAAATGGGGTTTAACGTCCTACTGTTCTGCTCTGACTGGGCTAATGAACACGGGCATATACAGTGTGCTATGAGGGAAATTTTACCCGGACAGCGGCGCTACTGTCTACTTTGACATCAAATTCCGTCTGCCAAGGGATGTCAAACTCATTTCGATTTGGGCGGGGGGGTGGGCACATGAACTAAAATTTCAGAGCAAGCGGGTCGAAGATATACAAAAGTTCTAAAAACAAAGCCAAATGTCCTTGAACTTTATTGAATTCTAAAAACAAAGCTAAACGTCCTTGACACAGGTAATTTTTTTTAGACTGGTTTCCAAATTGCCAAGATATAATATTGAACACAACGTTCTCTTGTATTAGATACAACTTAGATATCTATGACATACAGTACAGAAGTCAGAGTTTACTGAAACCGGAAAACGTTCCACGTTTGCGGCGATTACCCAATGTTTACATTGTAGCTATTTTGGATAGCCTCATTTATCACACAATTAGTTTCTCTGTAATATTATGTTATGCACTAGTTAAAGATGCATTATGCACTAGTTAAAGATGCATTATGCACTAGTTAAAGATGCATTATGCACTAGTTAAAGATGCATTATGCAAGCGGTAAATCTGCCTATTGCAGGTCTTTCTTTAGCCCTTAAATGTTATTAGACATTAATTAATTATTAATTAGACATTAATTAACATGAAAATACTTATTACCCGATTATGTTGGAATGTCGGTAATATTGAATACATTAATTATTTACGTTATGCCTCAGTGACCTGATGTTATTGATTGCATTATTTGTTTACTTGTAACCTAGGCGACCAGATGTCTCGCCTGTTTGTCGTTTTTGTGCGGACTGAAATAAACACAATTATAGATAATTTGCTACACGGACGTTGTTATTTTTGAGTTTTATTATTTGGTACGAATTTGATGTCTTGTAACGAACTTGTGTAGTCTTCAGTTTTTGTCTGTCAAGCGTCTAGTTAGCCAAGGCTGTGACCTTGTTGTGATCCAGCCATCATAGGCGACCAGACGTCCCGATGTCACATGTTGTCGAGTTAAATCAATGAAGAATTTAATTTCGTTTTTGCGCGGACTGAAATAAATACATTATAGAAAATTACTACACGAACATCCAAAAACTTTAAATTTTGGGAACAATTTATGATTAAACTAAACATACCCTGTTTTTCTACAATTAGCTTCGCTTGAAAACAAATAAATAGTATACTAGTTTTGGATATGGCATGGTGGCCATTCAAGGCAGAGAGAAGGACATGAAGTTTAACGTCCACTCGACAAAAATTAGGTCATTTCGGGACTAACATATGGTTCAATTTTATTTCAATAACTCGCTTGCGCGTAGGGGTCTTTAGCAGTTGGGGAAACCGGAGGACCCGTAAAAAACCCACGAGGTTGGACAGACGACCCTACTCCTTGTCACGTACAACCGGAAATCGAAACCACCTATTTACATCTTGTGACCTTGAGGAAATTATGCATATGGCCTTGTCAAATAGATCTAGCCTGTTAAAATGTTTTTTTTCTTAATCTTCGGGGGAAATAACTTATTTAAAAACCAAAGTATTATTTCAATGCACTTAAATGTGCTGTTCAACAGCTTTTAGTTACAAATTTTTAAGATTTGAAATTTTAAGCAAAACGGATTTCACGTTATTCAAGTGGCTATTTATTATTTATCGAGAGGGGATCACGTGGCTAAGTGGGTAAGAGGCTGGCTCGCTAGCCTGGAGGTCGGATCTTCGATCCCTACATTGGCCGAGAAAGTTCATCCAGATTTTCCGACGTGGTTTCCCCTTGTCAGTGATGCAGGACGGAGGGCCTGACAAGGACAGCTGTCTAGTCGTTCGGATGGGACGAAAAGCCGAGGTCCCGTGTACACATTGGCGTGCACGTAAAAGATCCCTTGACAGTTGGAATTCGATATACGAGTAGGCCGTAGTGCCGCTGTCCGGGCAAAATTTCCCTCATAGCACACTGTATGGCGTATGCCCCTCTTCATTAGCCTAGTGTAGGAGCAGAACAGTAGGACGTTAAACCCCATTTCATTTCATTTCATTTATTTATCGAGACACACAGACTAACAGTCGACAATCAAGTTTATGTGACCTCACGATGACTAGTCCTTATTATAGGCGAGGTTTCGGGTGAATTATTTATGGCTGTACAAAACAACAACGAGTTTCAAGAAATAACATTCTCCAATAACGTAAGATATCTCGAAAACCATGTTACTATTAATAGATTTATATCGTGCATCTGCCTGGTGATTTCATTCAAGCAGACGACATTCCTCGCTGATAGTCTACACTGAATTTTCACCTGCAGTTTATATGATCAATTTTTACGACACACTATAAGCAAAAGGTAGGTTGACATTTTAATTTTAATGATTTTAAATATATTTAGCTATTGCTTTTACCTGTGTACGTGTGTGTGTGTGTGTGTGTGTGTGGGTGGGTGTGGGTGTGTGTACGGGTGTGTGTGTGTGAGAGAGAGAGAGAGAGAGAGAGAGAGAGAATTACCGTCAACGCGACATTTCTAGACTAGGTCATTTCTAAACTGACATATTTAAGGGGGGTGACCTTTGTACTTGAATTTCCGTTTGTCCTGGGCGTAAAGGGGGCATTAGGTAGGATTAGATAAAAAAAATTGAAAAATAGATAATGAAAACAGAATATGCAGAAAAGAGAGGTGGTTTGACACAAACTAGTGTGCCAGTAGTAGTTCTTTAATCAGGTTCTGGATGACAAGATTAGTTTCAGCTTCTATTAATACTTTTATTCTGCCTCTAACATATTATGTACAAACATCGCAATGTTAAAGACCCCCAGGACTAAATTACATCAGTTGTCCGTTGTCCGGTCTTAACTCCTTGACCTGGAGTTAACTACCAGACGTCGCCTAGCCTCCGACTACTCTCATGTCCTGCCTGGACCGCTCTCCCTATTTGTTTTTTAATCTGGGTTTATAAACCCTTTTAAACAAAGGTTCTTATTAGGCATCTGGCTAATGTATCCCATATCAAGTTTACATTCGATACATGCTAATCAGACAAAGAAAGTTTAAATAAAACATGGCAGCAAGTTAACGTTTACATAATCATTACATAATCACATAGACCAAGAACTTCAAGCATGTCGATAACGATCAGGTGTCAAGTTGGCAGGAAGCGTCTTTAACATCAGATAATCTGATTATGTAACACTAGGTCATTTCGCGACTAACATATGCATCAATTTTTATTTCATAATTCACGTTTATAATGTTTATGCCCCACCATCTCGCGAGAGATGAACCTATGTGGAGCCTAAGAGTTGGGGTGGGAGGGGGGTGGGGTCTCACATATTTTGAGGGTCCGTTATAGTCTTGAATTTGATGAATTCGTTTAAGAGGAATTAGTAACAATGCCTCACTGAAGATTTGTACATGAGCTGTTAAAACATGAGGATTTACTCTAGAAAGCGCCATTTATATTACAGTCAGGGGCGACAATCACCCATGACCCCTTAGAGTTGGGAGCCCACACCGGACGAGACTCATGATCCTCCGGCCCCCACTCCGTCCCTGCATTACACCCCGATTTCCAATCACAACCGGGTAATAATATCCGTATAGAAATTAGGCAATGTCTACACGGGGTACATTATCCGTATTAAGGTCAGGTCATGTTTACACGGGGAATATTATCCGTATTAAGGTAAGGCCATGTCTACACGGGGTACATTATCCGTATTAAGGTAATGCCATGTCTACACGGGGTATATTATCGGTATTAAGGGAAGGCCATGTCTACACGGGGTATATTATCGGTATTAAGGTAAGGCCATGTCTACACGGGGTATATTATCGGTATTAAGGTAAGGCCATGTCTACACGGGATATGTTATCGGTATTAAGGTAAGGCCCCATGTCTACACGGGGTATATTATCCATATTAAGGTAAGACCATGTTGTATCCGTACAGAGATTAAGCCATGTCCAGACGACACACCTTGAAATATATGAAAAAGTAGCGGCACACCTGACTAAATATATATGAAAAATATTTGAATTTTGCAAAATAAAAACATGGCAAGTCATAGACGACATACAACCGTAGACACAGACTAGTAATGGACACATAGAATCACCGAAATTAAATACATGAAAAGAAAAACACATTTCATCCGTCAATTAGCTGGCTTCTTTCGCGGCACACTTAGGAAGATCTTGCGGAACACAGGTGTGCCGCGGCACACTGGTTGAGAATCACTGTGTTAACCAATGGGAACCTCAATTTGAGAAAATTAAATTTTCGTGAATATGTGGATCTTGGTGTTTTGGCTGTTAGCTATGGTGTTCTATTTCGGCCACTTCCCGCGTCGCGAGACGCGCGAGGCAAAATCCGCGTCGCGCGTCGTGCGTCGCCCTTTTTTAATGTTAAGCTATAGAGAAAAAATAGCGATGCCGGCTTTTTAACAAAACGTCGCCCTTTAAAAGGCGACGCGTCGCGCGACGCGACGTAAAGGGCGCCCTTTGCGTCGCGTCGCCTTTTCGATTTTAAGTTTAGAATAGAGATTTAAAACATAACACATAATCTGGGTATTATAGGAATGTATTGTTATATAAAGGATATTAATGACAGTTCCTTGTGTCAAATATGTATTGAACATAAAATACCAAACGGCAAATAAACTGCAAATGAATTCTCCTGCGCATTTCATCACCAAAAATATAAACAATATCTGTTCAGAAAAGGCGACGCACGACGCGACGCGAAGGGCGACGCGACGCGACGCGTCGCCTTTTAAAGGGCGACCTTTTGTTAAAAATCCGGCGTCGCTTTTTTTTCTCTATAGCTTAACACTGAAAAAGGGCGACGCACGACGCGCGACGCGGATTTTGCGTCGATGCGTCGCCTTTTTTCAAGGGCGACGCGCGAAGTGGCCGAAATAGAACACTATAGTTAGCGTCCATTCTAAATCCTCGCCTTCTGAACAAGGCAACAAGTCGACAAAATCCACCTGACAAAGCGAGAATATTACTCGTCAATCGTCGTCTTTATTTTGTCGTTTTGTCAAGTCAATTCGACTTTTCGCCTTCAAAAAATGCCATGAGCGGAATTTGGCGGAACTACGGCCTACCTTTATTTCGAATTCCAACTCGACGCTTTATTTATTGATTGTATTGAATTTTATTTTTTATTTTGTAGATTAAAGAATTATGACGTCATCCAGAATAGATAAGGGTAGGTGAAATTGCACTACAAGCTCGTTTCATTTGTTTTTTTTTTCTTCTGATTTTTAGAAACCTATCTTAATTTCACCACCTGCCTCATTCTGTCACCAAACAGAAATGCTCGTATTTTCGATTCCTCGCTTGTACGCGACAAGGAGTAGGATCGCCTGTCGAACCTAGTGGGTATTATCCCAGCACAGCTAAAGTCTCCTACGCGCACGCGAATTATTGAAATAAAATTTAACAATAATGTGAGTCCCGAAATTACTCATCGATACTAATATTTGTGACTGTCGTTTGTTTCTCTGCCTGTCTCTTCTGGGTTGGCGGCTACAGTAGGGCTGTCCGGAGGCTGATTGGTGTATAGCTCGTGTTAGCGCGGACCGGGAGTAACATAGACCTAGTGGCGAGAGACTAACACTTTCGGTTTCGGAGTTTTGGACACGCACACGAATGTAGGGCGAACGTTATTTTTAGAATTGAAGAAAAGGGTTTGAAAATACATTTTCTACCAGGTTTTGGTGACTATTCATGATTTTGAGGCGGAAGGATACAACAGTTGAGAGGTTGGTTAGGTTGAAATGTAGGGTCAAAAATTGCATGTTTACTTGTCTCTACTTCCAGCTTGTGTATCTCAAGTTTTCCATGGTGAACCTCATACGTGCTTTTGGGCAAGAGGTTGCCACGTGTTGCTCCATCTGCGGTAGAAAGCGTTCTACCCAACGAAAATTTGAGAAAAAGTTAGAGCCGGACTAAGAGACGAGAATTAACATTAAAGTCAATGCCGACAATGGGCAAATCTTTAGTGATCTGTGGGCTTATGTTTCTAATTCTGGTTTCGGAGTTATAGTGCTCCGGCTCAAGGCTATACCCGTGCTAGTGACTTTGATAATATGCACGTCACGCACGGATAGTGCTGATTGAAGGACTGTTAACCGAGACTTATTATCCTGGCAACGGTACTTGACAATCGAGAACATAAACTGTCACTCGGCAATCGTCGGACACAATATGGAGGAATTCTTATCAACCTTTGCCCATAATGAAGTAATTTGACTGACATTTCTAATAATGTATTCATTTTTTCGTTATCTTTTTTTTTGAACCGGTCAGTTCTTTATCTCAATCTTACAAAGGCTCAGGAATTATAATTTTCATTTTCATTTCAGAAATTAGAATTATAATTTTCGTTTTCATTTCAGAAATTAGAATTATAATTTTCGTTTTCATTTCAGAAATTAGAATTATAATTTTCGTTTTCATTTCAGAAATCAGAATGGTTATGGTCGGTAAAACAGGCGCGGGAAAAAGCGCGTTGGGTAATAGCTTGCTGGGAAGACATCACTTTGAATCCAGTACTATTGCAAGGTCTGTCACGTCTAAATGTAAATTTGCTCAAGGTAACCTTCGCGATGGCACCCAGCTCTGCATCGTCGACACACCAGGATTATTCGACACCAGGAAAACTAACGAAGAAAACACGATGGAAATAGCTAGGTGCATCGGTCTGTCTTCACCCGGTCCACACGTCTTTCTCTTTGTCCTCAGCATCAGCCGATTCACCAAGGAGGAGCTGGATACCGTAAATCATCTGGTAGCTGTCTTTGGACAGGATGTCATCAACCATGTTGTAATCGTTTTCACTGGTAAAGAGTCTCTGGCGTTCGAGAAGTTAACATTGGCCGATTATCTACAGACCGCTCCACCGGAGCTCAACGAATTAGTTCATCAATGTCGTTCACGCTGCGCCACAATAAATAATCGTGCAGATTACGCCGAGCTTCAAGCAGATGTTGATGGCATTATTAATATGGTGAGGAGAACCATTCATGACAATGGCGGGTCTTACTATACGGGAGAGATGTACAGGGCGGCAGAAGAGGCACTCAACGAAAAAATGAGGTTAATCGACGAAGAAAAGCATAGAAGGGAAAGAGAACTCCAAAAGAGACACGAAGAACTTGAACAACGGGAAAGAGAAATCGAAGCGTCTGCTTCCAGGCGAACACAAGAGCATGAGAACGAGAAGCAGAGACTAGAGGCTGAGTTAGAAGCACTGAAGAATACCGATACTCGTCAAGAAGTGCGACAAGAGGTCGAGTCATCGGACAGTATTGTTAAACTGATAATTAAGACTATTGGAGATGTTCTGACAGCCGTGCTGGCTAAAGCTGCTTCTGCTGTAATAAAAAAAAAGTTGTAATTCTTGAATAGACGTACATAAAAACAATTTATATCCAGATGTTAATCAAAGTTTAGCTTGTATCTTTTTTTAGTTTGCTGTATTGTAACCTTTTAATTTGCTTGATTTGTTATATTTTTTTTCTAAACAATATTTATTCACAGAAACTGGATTGGAGAACAGGCAGAAGCCTATAGATCCCCTCTCCATTTGTTATATAAACTTAGTAACAACATAAACAGTGTTCCTGGGCAGTTAATTGGTGATTGAAATAATTGATCCCACAAAGTGAAGTCAAAGAAAGTCATAGACGATAGTGTGTGTGTGTGTGAAATAGCTTTATGTAACGTCCGCTTCCACCGAGGTGATATCGCAGGCAATAGACGATAGTGTCTTATCGATCTATACCGATGCCCAAAAGAAAGTATACACACTAAAAGAGTGACTAAGTTTTGTTTAGATTAAAAACATTTGATAAAGCATTACTGAGTTTGTCTCTTGCGTCCAAACTCAACATTTCTAAGCAAAATAAAAATGTGAAACAAATTGACATTCTACCCAAATACCGTATTCCATGGAAAAACGACTTTGGTTGATGCAGCACAAAATGCACAGTGTACTTTCTTTTGGACATTAGTATATTTATTGGGTACCACGACTTAACTTTATCCGTAGTGTCACAAAGTGACTAAAGGCCTAGGCCCTGTTTTGCCTGATACGCGAATTCCTTCTCGTATATTAAAAAAAATAATAAATGTGTGAAATATGATATTTAATGGGTTGTATCATCCCATAAATTCTTAATAAGATAATGTGAAATATATAATCCAGTAGTTTATTTTATAGTTTATAATCCAGTATGGTTTTTTAAAAGCCCACATTGAAATGTGGTCGTATATTGTCGTCGCCGCCGTCCTTCGGTCCGTCTGTCCGTCCATCCGTAATTGTGGACGCTCTAGAGGCTAAAGTTAATACCCGATTGACTTTAAATTTATATACAGTGTTTAAGGTCATGAGACGAAGATTCCTGGTGATTGTCAACGATTTCCGATAATTACTGCCAGAGTTATGGCCCTTGATCACTTTTGAAATATCTTGTGGCCGCTCTAGTTAATACCTGATTGACTTTAAATTTATACACAGTGTTTAAGGTCATCAGATTCTAGAGACTAAAGTTAATGTTGGAATATTGGAAGCCAAGTGATTTTCAACGATTTTTGATAATTACTGGCAGAATTATGGCCCTTGATTACTTCAAAATATGTTGCGGATGCTCAGGCTAAATTCATCCGATTAACTTTAGATTGATACACAGCTGTGAAGGTCTTGACTCAAAAAGTATGTTGCTTTTCAGTGATTTTTGATAACTTGAACAGCTAATTCCATGATATTAAATGTTTGTTTGCTATACATTACCTTGGGGCAGAACTAGAAGCCTAAACAATTCTAATGATTTTCTATTAATTACTTAATGAGTTTTTACTCTTAATCAGGTCATAGCGTAGGGTATTATTAATACATCATTATCGACAAAAGAAACAAATATGCCACAACTCTTGTTGAGTGCCCAGACGACTTTGCTGCTGTGGGCGTATGTTTCGTTGCCTGGCAACCTATCTTTATCGGTTGTATAACACCATAAGTTCTTAATAATATAATATTAATGTGTTAAATATAATCCAGTAGGGTATTGAATCCAGTATGATATTTTGTGCGTTGTATCATTCCATAATCTCCTGAAAAGATAATACAAATACATAGTTTCTTTATCCTTAAACACATCGTTGCAATCGGGTATGTCCGATTTTAAGTATATTAGAACGGTTCAGTCATTTGATGATTTAATCTAAAATTGGTCCTCGAACAACCAGGTCATTGTTTACAATCAGTGCACACATCTTGTCACACTGATCAGCAGTGAATATTCGCTAGTGCGTCATGATAGGGATGACGTCGATGCGGCTTAATGAGCTCCAAATATTAACTTTTTCCTTCTGCAAATTAAAATCTAGAACATTTTTTTAAGCATTAGAAAAATAAATAAAGGTGTTTGAAGTATATGTAGGTAAAAAAAATGTCCTATTTAGTGTAAATGAGTATGTAAAATGAGTAAAAGGTAAAAGGCACCATTCTGCTCGAACCAGTGACGTCTCATGTAAACAATGCACACGTCATTGAACCAATGATTGACGCCGCGTGGTGTGGCGTCACATAATAAAGCAGAAATCTTTTACAGAGCTATTAGTTTTGGCAATTCAGGCATTTGGACACAGCTCACCAAAACACCGTCACGAATGGAGGGTGAAAGTTATTTTTAGTCTTTCTCTCACCTTCCCTTCCCCCCTTTTGCATGGTGATTTTTGTTGACGTTGTAGTTTAGAATTGAAGAAAAGGGTTTGCAAATACATTTTCTGCGAGTTTGTTTTTTTTTGGGGGGGGGGGGGATTCGTGATTTTGAGGTGAAAGGATACGAGAGTTGAGAGTTTGGCTAGATTGAAGTGTAGGTAAGAAAATACTTCCAGTTTTCCATGGTGAATCTTATACGTGCTCTTGGACAAGAGATTGCCACATGTTGCTCCATCTGTGGTAGAAAGCGTTCTACCCATCGAAAATTTGGGAAAACGTTAATTAGAGCCGATCTAAAAGACGAGAATGAACATTAAAGTCAATGAGAAAATCATTAGTGATCTGTGGCCATTTGATGGTTTTATCTTAAAATGGTGAAACGAGGCTTAGCCTCGAACAACCAGGTCAGTGGTTACAATCAAAGCACACATCTTGTCAAACCTTCAAAGGCTAATATCGTCGCTCAGAATAAAGTAATTGGAATGAAAGTTTCAATATGTTCATTTTCCATTATCTATTTTTAAACTATTATAGCAAAATCGCCCAACTCCTTATCTAAATCCTACCTAATGTATCTTTAATTATATGTTCGGGGTTTGCTACTTGAAGAGCGTACATAATGAAAGCTTAGTAGAGTTTCAATAGCAGGTGTGGCATATATAGATGTGATTTGACTCAGTTAGCCGAATGGATGTGATTTGACTCAGTTTGCCGAATGGATGTGATTTGACTCGGTTTGCCCAATGGATGTGATAGGACATACAGCATTAAATTTAGTTTAAAAGCCTAAATAATAAAAGTTTTTAATAGTAGACGTGAAATCTATTACAGATCTATTGGAAGCACATGAAAACAGTTTATATCCAGATGATAATCAGAGCTTAGCTTGTGCCTTTTTTAAAGATACATTATCTAAGATTTCGATAAAGAGATAGTCGAAGTTAAATTTCACCAATTTCAACAGATTAAAGATACATTATGTATGATTAAGATAAAGAGATAGTCATTCTTCCTATAATAGTTCGAATGTAAAATGAATAATTTGAGAACTTCAAATTACTGTATTGCGAGCGAAGATATTAGCCTTTGAAGGTTTGAAAAGACGCGTGCATTAATTGCAACGACCGTACTGGTTATTCGAAGCTAAATCTAGCTCCTCCACCTTTAAATTAAATTCAAATTGAAATATGGCTCAACCTTTCTAATCTGCTTAATATCGGAGACACCCCATGGCATCGAGAGTTGATTATGGTCTGGATCAGTTCATAAAAGTCTAATTAAAAATTTAGATACCATTTCAGGCCCAAATAAAGGCCTGCAATAGGCAGATTTAGCTCTTGTATAATGTATGTTTAATAGAATATAATGGAAGCCACTCAAAATATCTCATAATAACAAGAACGTTGTATGTGTTTTCTGTTGAAACAGGAACAACTTTGCTGTAAAGTTTCAAGCTGCCAGAAGAAAATCAATCTGATTAAAGTACAGATCTATATTTCGTTTCGTTTTTTTATTCTTTCGATGGCCTACACTACATGAAGATCTGACCGGTTGTAGCGATAGGTCGCGTCAGAGGTCATACGAGCAGCTTTTGACCCTATGACGTAGGACATTTGATTAACTAATCAGCATTGATGTTTCTAGTGGATTACCCACAGTTCCGTGCACCACGCCGTAACAACCGTTCCATTGGCGAATTCCTCACTTCAAGCAGAACATGAGTTAAATAAGAACTATTCCAGATCTTAGTGTAGTAAAGACAAGTAAAATGAAATTTTGAACTATAAAAAAACGAAACGAAATAGGATCTGTGTTTTAATCTGATTGGAAGAAAATGTTACAGTTTGAATGGGAGCACCAAGGCCCCCTACCATAGGCGTACTTGCTGGGTGACTGTTAGGGGGGCAGAACCGGAAATGCCCGAAAAAAATTTGGGTTAGCGCCCCCTCCCCCCCCCCCCACACACAAAAAAAAATTGGGAAAATTTGACAAACGCAAACGCGTTTTCCTGCTATTCCAGCCTTTGAATACAGCAACTTCAATTGTGTCCAATATAGCCTACCTTAGGTGGCTGACCCGAATCCCATACAAACAACCGATCGTCGCGGGGTATGGGGGCCTTGCCCTCATGTAGAAAATTTTGAAAATGTAACCGCCGCAAATGCGTTTTCTGCTATTATAGCCCGTGAGATGAGCAACTCCAGTGGTTTTGTAACCGAAATCCCACTCAATGCCGACCTGAATTCCAACCATTCAATCAGACTGTTGCAGCTGCATTCACAAAAAATAATCGATGCCCGAAAATGCTTTAATCCAAAGTCAATTCAGTACAAATTCGTGGTATTCAATTAAACGAAAAGTAAAGTTGGTGTTTTATTAAATTTCGGGCATTTTATTTTTTTACTTGACCCGAAAAGTCAGATTGCCCGAAAGTTAGGGGTGGGGGGCAGCTGCCCCCCTGGCTCGTACGCCTATGCCCCCTAGGTACTCAACAAGACTGAAATGAAATGTGAGTTTAACGTGAAATGAAATGAAATAAAATGGGGTTTAACGTCCTACTGTTCTGCTTTGACTGGGCTATTGAAGACGGGGATACGCCATACAGTGCGCTATGAGAGACATTTCGCCCAGGCAGCGGTGCTACGGTCTTCTTTTATATTGAACTCCAACTGCCAGAGGATGAAAAACTGAGGTCTCATCTACACATTTGCGTGCACGTTAAAGATCCCTTGACAGTTGGAATTCGATATAAGAGTAGGCCGTAGTGCTGATGTCCGGGCAAAATTTCCTTCATAGCACACTGTATGGCGTTTGCCCGTTTTCATTAACCCAGTTCGGACGTTAAACCCCATTTCATTTCTAATTCATTTAGTGACGCTAATATCTATATGTGGGAGATTGGGTGGCATTACAATCAGGTGAAAATTAAATGGAGTTTAACGTCGTGCTGTTCGGCTCCGAACTGGGTTAATAAAGGAGGTGTATCATAAGGTCTGTCATTAAGTCAAGTGACGTGGTATCAATTTGTGACAACTCTCTCTCTCTCTCTCTCTCTCTCTCTCACACACACAGCCATCCGACGAACGATGATCTAGAGAGTTGATTTTAGGTTTGGAATGTGAATAAATGTCTTATTTATTTATATTATGTTTCAAGTGTTATAATGTATCTTTGTATATATTTTAAGATATAATTTTAGTTAAGGTAGTAATTGACCAATGTCCGAATTGATATCTCATGCACTTTTCTTTCAAGTCTTTTAACTGTTTGGGTTTATACGTAATATATAGAGGATATTTGTCGTTTGAGAGTGAATAACATATTTTATTTCAATTTATTTTATGATTTTACAATCATTTTAGGTAAAAACAACTAGCCAGTGGAATAACACTTTTATTTCACTGATAAAACGCGGTATTCCACTGATCATAAAATAAAACGATATATATTACGTAATTATAGTTAACACGCGTTCTTGGTATGTCCATATCTTCTGCTGTATTTAAACATCTGTTTCCTATGTATACAATTTAACATTTCTTTTCAAATATTATTATATAATTATTTTAATCCTAAGCTTGTATATATGTTCCATATTCTACTGTAACTTTAGTCTGGTGACCGGCTCGTCCTAGCGATACCTATCTCGTTATTGGGACCGTTAGCCAGTTTTGGACACTCGTTTATTAAAAGTACAATTTTAACTATTTATCTGAGTTTTCGTCGTTAGTGTTGGAATAAGCTACAACCCCCAGAAAACAGCACTTCGGCACAAGCAAAAAAAGGCCTGTCATAGGTAAATTAAGCTCTTAACTCTTACATGATGCATTTTTTATATATTTCATTTGGCATAAAAAAAACACAGTTTATAGTCTTAAAGCAAACAGTAACCATTATTTTCAGCTGATCAGTTCGAATTCGTGTGTTGGGATACGGGTAAGAACGACATCAGCTAACGAAATATCTAATCAAAAAAAACTAAGGAATCCATTCCACGCGTCTTTGACGCCCCGTCCAATGCCACGCCCAACCTTCTCTATACCTCGAGCAATCTCAACAATAGCGCCATCTTTCGCCTGCACATCCTCTCGATATTCTTGTCTCGGATCGATATTCTTTATTTTCTCGCGTTCGTCTTCTAATTCCTGCTCTTTTTGACGTTGTCTTTTCTTAATTCTCTCTAATTCTTTTTTCTCTTCATTGTGTTCTAGTTTCATCGCTTCAATTTCTTTCATCTTTCTCTTCGCCTCTTCCTCAATTTCCCGCTCTTTTTGTTCTAGTTCCCGCTCTTTCTTGTTTTTCTCTTCCTCGAGAAGTCGAAGTTTTTCTTGATATGCCCTTTCTGCTCCTTCAAACATCTCTCCAGTGTAGTACTTTCCGCCATTTTGTCTCACGGTCTCCGCCATTAAATCTAGAATAGCTTTAACATCCCTTGCTAATGCCGGTGGTTCTGCTCGGTTGTTAATGGTAGCTATTCTCCCATGGCACTCGGCAACCAGTGATTGTAGATCTGGTGGACAGTGCTGGATATGTTCATGAATGGTCATATCATCGTAATCAAGTGAGTCCTTACCGGTGAATACAATGATCACGTAATCGACAACGTCTTCTCCAAACAGATCTTTGAGGTGTTGGATCGTCTCCATCTCTTCCTGGGTAAAGCGACCGATCTTCAGAACGAAGATAAAGACGTGGGGACCTGGTGAAGCTAGACCGATACACCTTATAACCTCTTTCGACGTTTCAAGGTTGCTTTTCCTGGTGTCGAATATACCTGGTGTGTCGATAACTACCAACTTTTTCCCATTGTCAAGATGCCTGTTTCCAAATTTGCAGTTTACGGTGACAGACGCGCCATAATTGTTGGATTTGAATAGCTTAGTCTGCAGCAGACTGTTTCCAGTGGCGCTTTTACCAGCTCCTGTTTTCCCTAACATCACCATTCTAAGCTCTAAAATAAACAAGAAAATACACAAATTACTGACACAGCAATAGATTCGGTGACGCGGTGAATCAGTGGGTAAGACGTTGGCTCGCTAACAACAACCCATAGATTCAGTGCCGCGGTGAATCAATGGGTAAGACGATGGCACGCTAACCAGGTCTCGGCTCGGGTTCATTCCCAGTGTTGGCGGTGAGGTTTCCACTTGTCAGCGGAGCAGGACAGAGAGCCTGGCAAGGACAGTGTCTAGTCGTGCAGATGTGACGAAAACCCGAAGTCCCGTGTACAGTGTATACATTGGCATGCACGTAAAAGAACCTTGACAGTTGGAATTAGATGTAAGAGCAGGCCATAGCGCCTTTGTCCGAGTTCTTTCATAGCACACTGTATGGCGTATGCCCGTCTTCATTAGCCCAGTTTGAGCAGAAAAGTCGGACGTTAAACCCAATTTCATTGTCACATATATACGAGGTATAGAAACCACGCCACTTGACTCAATGGCATACCTATTGATACAACGCGCACACGTTAAACCATTCCGCCATCTAACCCCCTCAGATTGAATAGGATTCTTCATCGCATGAATATAAGTCAATCCGTGAGAACTATGGTCCGTATATTCCCACTAGGGCGATAACTCTAAAATTAAAACCAATAGGATGCTGTGTTGCGTGAACTTAAACACCGTGTATAAATTTCAAGCCAACTTCAGTTTCTAGAGTATTCATGATATTTCAAATATTGATTAAGGGCCATAACTCCGACAGTAACTATCAAAAACCATTGAATATCGATAGGATTTCTCGTCTTTGTAACATGAAAACTGTGTATAAATTTAAACTAGCTCCTAGAGAGTCTGAGAGCAGGGGGGTTGTATGGCCGTATGGTTAGCACGAGTGGGCTGTATCATAAGGTCTGTCATTGAGTCAACTGGCGTGGTTTCAATTCACCGTTTGTACGTGACAATGAGTAGGGTCGCCTGTCCAACCTCGTGGGTTTTCTCCGGGTCCTCCGGTTTCCTCCCACTGCTAAAGACCCCTACCCGCAAGCGAATTATTGAAATAAAATTGAACCATGTGCTAGTCCCGAAATGACCTAGTTTGTGTCGAGTGGACGTTAAACCCTCTCTCTCTCTCTCTCTCTCTCTCTCTCTCTCTCTCTATTGAAAGCAATTGTCTGCGACGAACCGATGGATGAGCGGGGATGACGACAATATGCTATTTTAATGCAGGCATAGAAAAATCTAATAAATATTTAGCCTACCTTCTGGACTTGTAAAAGGCATCTTCTATTCTCTTTTTTAATCTACAAAAGTAAACACAAAACAAAATATAGGAATGTTTTTATATGTAATGGCCATTTACAGGCGTTGCTATAACAACGCTCTAAGATGCAACTTTATTATTTGCACACTGTGGAATACAAATGGCAATTTCAGATTCAGACATTTTGGACCAGAAATTAGGTCCAATGCGCTCCTCGTCTTGTTGTTCATGGGGGTAGCGCTCTCATAAAAAATCCCACGGCTCCGTCAATTTTGGTACGCTCGACATGAAATTTGGTATTCTTGTTCCTTTGTGCATAGGGGGGGTTGGATTGCCTAATGGTTAGCGCGTGCGCGTTGTATCATAAGTTCTGCCATTGAGTCAACTGGCGTGGTTTCGATTCCACGGTTGTACGTGACAAGGAGTAGGGTCGCTTGTCTAACCTCTTGGATTTTCTCCGGGTCCCCCGGTTTCCTCCCACTGCTAAAGACCCCTACGTGCAAGCGAATTATTGAAATAAAATTAAACCATAGTCCCTAAATGACCTAGTTTGTGTCGAGTGGACGTTAAACCCCATTTCTGTCCCTCTTTATTACAGTGTGTGTGTACTTTGTAAAGTTTGTTCTTGCAGACGTCAACGATCGTTAACACAACCAGTGGTTACCTGGAATTCCCGATTCTCCAGAAACTGTACTAACTGGTCGTCCTACTCTCAGCAAAGATGACCGTCGTGCAACGATCGATAACACTATCAATGGATACCTGCCTGGAATTCCCGATTCTCCAGAAACTGTACTAACGGGTCGCCCTGATCTTAAAGATGAGAATCGTGCAACGATCAATAACTCTATCAACGATTACCGGGAATTCCCGATTCTCCAGAAACTGTATATATTTACCAGCCGCCCTGATCTCCGCAAGGTTGCCTGGAGGTCGAAAGTTCGATCCATGCATTGGCGAGACAGTTCATCAGTTTCCCCTTGTCAATGGGGCAGTACAGAGGGCCTGGCAAGGACAGCTGTCTAGTCGTTCGGATGGGACAAAAAACCATTCGGAAATGGAGTTTAACGTCCACACAACACAATCTAGGTCATTTCGGGACTAACATATGGTTCAATTTTATTTCTTTGATTCGCTTGCGCGTTGGGGTTTTGAGCAGAGGGAGGAAACCCGGGGACACGCAGAAAACCCATGAGGTTGGACAGGCGATCCTACTCCTTGTCACGTACAACCGGGGAATCGAAACCACGCCAGTTGCCTCAATGACAGACTTTATGATACAACGCACACGCGCTAACCATTCGACCACCCCCCTCCACTCCCCCGCCTGTAAATGATTATTTAGAAATTTATAAACGTGACATAACTATAACCAACTGTAGATCATCCGATGGCAAAGATTTAAATGCATTAAAATGGATTTTCGGAGATTTTGTCTCGATTGTCAAGTACCGTTGCTACGCAACATTTTCAAACAGACATAACTTCCCTCAGAATGATTTATATTTTCTATACATTAATATTGAATAACGTTTTTTTTAACTATTATAACAAGAACGACCAGTTCTTTATTTAATTCTTAAACATACATTATGCTAGAGCTAATTCTGTCTATTGCAGGTCTTTCTTTACGCCTGAAATGTTATCTAAATTATTAATTAGACATTAATTAACCTATCCAGACCCTATCCAGGGTTTAACGTTCTACTGTGCTGCTCCTATACTGGGCTAATGAATATAGACATACGTCATACAGTGTGCTATGAGTATGAAGAGGATTTTGCCGGGACAGCGGTGCTACGGCCTACTCCTCTATTGAATTTAAACTTCTGAGGGATCTTTTACGTGCACACCAATGTGCCCTCCTCCTGCACCAATGACAAGAGGAAACCCCGCTGGATAATCCCGATGACATTTCTCGGCCAACACCGGGATCGAACCCCAGATATGCGAGCCAGCGTCATACTCACTTTGCCACCGTGGCTCCTGTGCATGTTAGATGATGAGGTCATTCTGCCCACAGAGAACAATCTACGTCGAGAATAGATCTCTGATCTAAATGACCGCCATATCCAAATATTAGTATACTATATTTTGTGATGCAGTTTTACTCCGTACTCACATCTGTCATACACTCAAAGACTAAATAAACATATTCCATTATGGAAGCGAAAGAAATACTTCTCACAACAATTCGCGAAGTATACTTACGGTTTTTTTTTCGACTAAAATCGTCGCTTTAGGAATTAAAATGTCGGTCAACTAGCTTAGTCTTTGTTCTCAAGTGGGGGATCACGTGGCTAAGTGGGTTTGGCGCTAGCTCGCTAGCCTGGAGGTCGGATGTTCGATTCCTACATTGGCCGAGAAAGTTCATCCAGATTTTCCGGCGTGGTTCCCCCTTGTCAGTGATGCAGGACGGAGGGCCTGACAAGGACAGCTGCCTATCCTTCGGATGAGACGAAAAACCGATGTTCCGTGTATACATTGGAATGCACGTAAAAGATCCCTTGGCAGTTGGAATTCGATATAAGAGTAGGCCGTATAGTGCCGCTGCCCGGGCAAAATTTCCCTCATAGCACATTGTATGGCCTATGCCAGTCTTCATTAGTCCAGTATAGGAGCAGAACAGTAGGACGTTAAACCCCATTTCATTTCATTTTATTTCTGTTCTCAAGTGGAGCTAGTTGTAGACAGACGGCGTCACACTGATCCGCAGTGAATATTCGCTTGGCCGCTACAATCACTGATAAGGATGACATCGATGCGACTTAATGACTACAAAATATTAACTTTTTTCTTTCGACAAATTAAATTCTGAAACATTTTTTTTTAGTATTAGAAAAATAAATAAAGGTGTTTGAAGTATATCTTGATAAAAAATATTCCATATTTAGCGTAAATAGGTACACCTTGCTTTGTTGGTAAACATCGTGATGTGACGTCACCCTTAGAACTACAGCGGTCTGACCTTTTAAAGGTCAGTCATCTTGGACAGAGATAAAAGACGGATGCCGCATTAGGTCTGTAAAACAGATTGAGACGGCGTTAGTTTAGTATGATAAAAAGGTCTGCCATTGCGTCAAATGTTTTGTTAAGATTACCCGCTTGTACGTGACAAGGAGCGCAACCTCATGTATTTTCTCAGGGTAGCTTAGTTTTCCTCTCATTGCGAAGATCACTACGCGCAAGCGAATCATTGAAATAAAATTGAACCATGTGTTAGTCCCGAAATGACCTTATTTGTTTCGAGTGGACGTAAAACCCCATTTCTCTCTATATATATATATAAACTTAGAGAAAAAAACCAGTTCATTCCGGTACTAAAATGGTTCAATTTTATTTCAATAATTAGCATGTACGAAGGGGTCTTTAGCAGTGGGGGGAAACCGGAGGATCCGGAGAAAACCCACGAGGTTGGACAGGCGACCCTATTCCTTGTCACATACAAACGGGGAATCGAAACCCCGCCAGTTGACTCAATGACAGACCTTATGATACAGCGCGCACGTGCTAACCATTCGGCCATCCAACTCCCTAGATATATGTGAAATGAAATGAAATGAAATGAAATGGGGTTTAACGTCCTACTGTTCTGCTCCTATACTGGGCTAATGAAGACGGGCATACGCCATACAGAGTGCTATGAGGGAAATTTTGCCCGGGCAGCGGCACTATCGCCTACTCTTATATCGAATTCCAACTGCCAAGGGATCTTTTACGTGCATTCCAATGTATGCACGGGACCTCGGTTTTTCGTCTCATCCGAAGGACTAGACAGCGTCCTTGTCAGGCCCTCAGTTCTGCACCACTGACAAGGGGAAACCACGTCGGAAAATCCAGATGAACTTTCTCGGCCAATGCAGGGATCGAACACCCGACCTCCAGGCTAGCGAGCCAGCGTCTTAACCACCTAGCCACCGCCTAGATATATGTACATATAGTGATAATTGTGCACTTACCTCGAACAATATATTATTTCAGTATTCGTCGTTGACCTGTGAACACCTCAAGTTATCTGTGTTATCTGCAGAGAACCACGCGTACGTTGACTAATTTATATCTGGACTTCGTAATTCTCGGAGAATCGGGCTTTTCCTCTAAAACATTTTACGTCAGGCGGATCCAGATTCGAATGGATAAAGGACGGGAGGGGGGTGTGTGCTCCCAATATTAAAGCAGGGGCGGATACAGGATTTTTTACAGAAGAGTGTTTGCCCGGTACCCGAGACAATGTATCTTTGTGTGGGGGAGGGGGGATGGGCTGCCTTGAATATGTTTGAGAAATACACGGTCTCTATCGTCATTTTGGCGTATATGCATACACACTGAGCTTTTTAAAGAGAAAAATTCAACACCCCGTTTGACGTCAATTTTTATTATGAATTAATACGATGACATTGTGATTCAATTTCTTTGATGCAAAGCATTAATTGTGATATCACATATTATGTCTAGAGGACCACGTGGCTAAGTGGGTAAAACGCTGGCTCGCTAGCCTGGAGGTCGGGTGTTCGATCCATGCATTGGCCGAGAAAGTTTATCCAGATTTTCCAGCGTGGTTTCCCCTTGTCAGTGATGCAGGACGGAGGGCCTGACAAGGACAGCGGTCTAGTCGTTCGGATGGGTCGAAAAACCGATATAAGTGTAGGCCGTAGTGCCGCTGCCCGGGCAAAATTTCCCTCATAGCACACTGTATGGCGTATGCCCGTCTTCATTATTAGCCCAGTTTAAGAGCAGAAGAGTGGGACGTTATATCATTATCTCGATCTTTGAATGCCCATCCCACCCCACCATCTGATGATAAAAGATAAAGCACACGACCGTGACTCTTTTCTCAAAAAAGGTGGTGTTTTAATTTTTTTTATGAAGCTGAGCAGGAAATTCTAAAATTGTTTTATATAAAGCATGATATTTATAATGGCGGTGACTGTCTAGAATTTCCTGGACAAGATAGGATTCTCCGAGAACCAGGCTGTACCATTAAATCGAACACGTCACGTATTAGGTGGTCTGTTTTGGCGGAACTACGATTTAGACGGTCTGGTGGGTACTATGTGTGTGGAGGGAGAGAGAGAGAGAGAGGGGGGGGGGGATTACCGTTGACGCGACACAACCTAGGACATTTGGAGACTGACATATGGCGGGGGGTTGGGGTGGGGGCTGTGTACCCGATTTCCCGTGCGCCCTGGGCTTAAAGGGGAATTATGGAAGTATTAAATAACGAGCTGACAGTTATCGCTATAATAGACAGAAAATAGATAATGAAAAGGGATTATGCGGAAAATTTCAGTTAAATTGCTTCACTCTGAAACGAATTTAAGGTCTAGCCTCGATCATCATTACTAAAGTCGGCACGATTAAAATCATAGTCTCGATTATCCACTTTTAGGCCTAGTCCCGATCGCCTATCTGCCCATATATCGCTGCATTGTGGAAATACCGCTCTTTCCCACCTCTGTTCTAAGGATATTTTGGATCCCTTACCTTCTATGTTCCACCATGATTCTTTTTTTTCATTTTTTGCCAAAAACAATGTGAGTGGACGTTAAACCCCATTGCTCTATCTCCCCATGTCTGACACACATTTATAATAATTCAATGGATAAAGGACAGGGGGGGGGGGATCCCAATATTAAAGCAGGGCGGATACAGGAATTTTTGCAGAAGGGGGTTTGACGGTACTTGAGACAATGTATCTTTGGGGGGAGGGGGCTGAATTAAATAGAGAGAGAGAGAGAGAGAGAGAGAGAGAGAGAGGGAATGGGTTTTAACGTCCACTCGACACAAACTATGTCATTTCGGGACTAACATATGGTTTGATTTTATTTCAATAATTCGTTCGCGCGTAGGAGTCTTTAGCAGTGTGAGGAAACCGGAGGACCCGGAGAAAACCCACGAGGTTGGACAGGCGACCCTACTCCTTGTCACGTACAACCGGGGATTCGAAACGACGCCTCCTGTTTGAGATATACCTCTCTATCGTCAGCTTTGCGTATGTACATACACGCTGCGACGTTTTAAAGAGAAAAATTCAACACCCCGTTTAACGTCAATTTTTATTATGAATTAATACGATGACATTGTGATTCAATTTAATTGATACAAAGCATTAATTGTGATATCACATATGTCTGTATCATTATCTCACACTTTGAATGCCCATCCCATCCCATCATCTGATGATAAAGGATAAAGTCACACGACCGAGGCACTTTTCTTATAAAAAGTGTTCTTTTAAAGATGGGTTCCCGCGTACAAACTGGGTGATTTAATGGTATATATGGAATAAAAACATATTCAAACTAATTAATTTGTCAAAATTATGCTTCAAATCCTTCTCAAACATTGTAATTGCGAAGGAATGCCCTGCTATTAAAATTCTATCAAACCAGGCCATGTTTACGTCACGTCTTGGAAGTCAGAGGAGAATTCATTGCATACATAAGACGATGTTGTCTTTAATCGCTTACTATTTATTACAAATATCGAATCCTAATTAAATTCTTGGATTATCCACTACCCGCGTCTTTTTCCGTCATTTTTATCTCTGAAAGTGTTGTACGTCTAACTCTTCATGAAGTTTATCAACTTGTACATCAAGCATTCAATGTTCACGTGTGACCTTTGACATCATGCGTGCAGAAATTCCTGTTGATTACGGGAACCCTTACATTTTTGTCCTGTATACGCCCCATGAGTGTTTTTCGGGGAATCCAGTATTTTTCTAGTAAGATTGGATATCTCCATACTTTTATTGGAAATAACCACCCGATAAATACTTTTCTGGGAATCCATCTTTAAATTTTTTTATGTAGCTGGGAAGGAAATTCAAAAATTGTTTTATATAAAGCATTGTATTCATAACGGCGGTGACTGTCTAGAATTTCCTGGACAAGATAGTATTCCCCGAGAATCAGGCTGTACCATTAAATCTAATACGTCACGTGGTAGGTGGTCTGTTTTGGCGGAACCAGATTTGGACGGTCTGGAGGTACTGTGTGTGTGGAGAGAGAGAGAGAGAGAGAGAGAGAGAGAGAGAGATTTTCCGTGAGCCCTGGACTTAAAGGGGCATTTTGTGTAGGATAAAGAACGAGACTGAGGTTATGCTGGGCAAAGAAAGACTGAAGAAAATAACCCGAGAGAAAGAAAAACCGGGGCCGGCAGGCCGAGGTTTTTCTGTCGAGGGTTTTTTCTGAAGTCTTTCTTCCACAGCATAACCGAAGTCGAAGACTTTATCTTGCTTATAAACCATCTATGTTTACATGTACGCAAGATGAGAATATCCCAGAATTCCCACAAGAAAAACCTTAGATCATGTTTTCGTATGGGAAAAAACCTACCCTGGAAGAATAACCTGTTACAGGTTTAAAGAAAAACTTTCAGAAGAATAACCCCAAATCTCCCTGTATATATCCAAAACCTCTCCCGACTTTCAAACCGCAAGTTATTCCAGGCATAGAATATACCTCAAAGATCAAAGAGATTTACAGTGACAGGTTTATAAGGGAGATTAGATAACGATCGCTGACCGGTGACGTGTCTCTGATGTTAGAATGACTCATCAATGGGCCCTCAAATATCTAGAAACGAGGTTCTACGCTGACAAATTAGTTTCTGTGGGCCAATAGAGACCCGTAAATCCAAGGTCACGACCTACTGCCTACGCCCATTGGTAAATACGGAAATTTCAAATCTCTATATTGAAGTTTCACAATGTGATCCTATTTCGTTTCGTTTTCATTGTTCAAAATTTCGTTTTATTTGTCTGTACTTAGTGTAAGCCATCGAAAGTATATAAAAAAAACGAAACGATATATAGATCGTGGCAATTCTGGAGTGCCGAAGGTGTTATTAGCACTAAATTACGTGGTGGGGTGTTTGGGGGCAAGGCGGGCTTACCCCCAAGAATTATGAAAAATGGAGTACTATACTGTAGATGCCTTTTCAAACGGTTACTGTTTCAGGCCACGGACCCCAAAGCTGAGTCTAGGCAGGGCAGGGGAGAGGGGCGCCAACCCCCTCTGGATTCGTACCTGATAATGGCACATCAGGTCTTGAAATACGTACAAACTTTTGCGAATTTCATCCATGCCCCACCCCCACCCCATCACTACTACTACCACTTATTAGAGTCACGATGGCCAAGTGGGTAAGACGCTGGCTCACTATAGCCTGGAGTTCGCGTGTTCGATCCCAGCATTGGCCGAGAATTTTTTCGACTTGGTTTCAGCTTGTCAGAGATGCAAGACAAAGGGCCTGGCAGGGGTGGGTTTTCTGTGCGGTTAAACCCGTTAACTCATGAAAGCCGCGCTATAAATAGAACTTGTTACAGCGTGTGTGTGTACTTTGTAAAGTTTGTACTTGCAGACGTCAACGCTTGATAACACAAGTAGTGGCTACGGGGAATTCGCTATTCTACAGAAATTGTACTAACGGGTCACCCTGATCTTAAAGATGAGAGTCATGCAACGATCGATAACACCATCAATGGCTACCAGGAATCCCCGATTTTCCAGAAACTGTTCTAACGGGTCATCCTGATCTTAGAGATGAGAGTCATGCAACGATCAATAACACAGCCAACGGTTTCCGGGAATTTCCCGATTCTCCAGAAACTTCATTTAACAGCCGTACTGATCTCTCAACAAGCTTATATTGATGAAAGATAGGTTGCCATACAACAAATCCCCGATACTCCAGAAACTACATTCCAAAACAATATAATGATGCCCAAGATAGGTTGCCATACCACAAATCCCGGATTATCTAGACACTACATTTGAAAACGATATGATGATGCCCAAGATAGGTTGCCATACAACAAATCCCCGATGCTCCAAAACGATATAATGATGCCCAAGTTAGGTTGCCATACAACAAATCCCTATTTCTCTAAAAACTACATTCCAAAACGATACAATGATCCCCATAAGATAGGCTGCCATACAACAAATCCCCGATACTCTAGAAACTACATTCCAAAACGATATAATGATGCCCAAGATAGATCGCCAAACAACAAATCCCCGATTCTCTAGACACTACCTTTGAAAACGATATAATGATGCCCATAAGATAGGTTGCCATACAACAAATCTCCGATTCTCTAGACACTACCTTTGAAAACGATATAATGATGCCCAAGATAGGTTGCCATACAACAAATCCCCGGTTCTCTAGACACTACATTTGAAAACGATACAATGATACCCAAGATAGGTTGCCATAACAACAAATCCCCGATTCTCTAGACACTACCTTTGAAAACGATATAATGATGCCCAAGATAGGTTGCCATACAACAAATCCCCAATTCTCTAGAAACTACATTCCAAAACGTTATAATGATGCCCAAGATCGGTTGCCATGCAACAAATCCACGATTCTCTAAAAACTACATTCCAAAACGATATAATGTTGCACCAGATAGGTTGCCATACAACAAATCCCCGATTCTTCTGATCTTAACAAATCTATAATGAAGAAAGGTAGGTTGCCATACAACAAAACATTTAGTTATCCTGCAGTTTTGAAATATATTTCTCCGGATACAGGGGGTCACGGTGGCTAAGGGGGTAAGACGCTGGCTCGCTAGCCCGGAGACCAGGTGTTCTACACCTGCATTGGCCGAGAAACTTCATCCAGATTTTCCGGCGTGGTCCCTTGTCAGTGATGCAGGGCGGAGGACTGGCAAGGACAGATGTTTAGTCGTTCGGATGGGACGAAAAACCGAGATCCCTTGTACTTATTGGCGTGCACGTAATGCACGTAATGTAAGAGTAGGCCATAGTGCTGCTGTCCGGGAAAAATTTCCCTCATTGTTCTGTCCTGTGGTTAGCGTGCGCGCGCTGTATCATAAAGTCTGTCATTGAGTCGACTGGCGTGGTTTCGAATCCCCGGTTGTACGTGACAAGGAGTAGGGTCGTCTGTCCAACCTCGTGGGTTTTCTCCGGGTCCTCCGGTTTCCTCCCACTGCTAAACCCCAATACGCGCAAGCGAATTATTGAAATAAAATTGAACCATATGTTAGTCTCGAAATGACCTAGTTTGTGTCGAGTGGACGTTAAACCCCATTTTTCTCTCTCTCTCTCTCTCTCTCTCTCTGTTTCACAGATGTATTGCAAAGACTAATAGCTCTGTATAACATGACTGCTTTATCATGTGACATCACATCACGCGGCATCAACCACAGGCTTAATAGCGCGTGCATTGTTTACAAAAGACGTTACTGGTCCGGGCAGAATGGTGCCTTTTACTCATTTTACACTAAATAAGAAATATTGTTTACCTACAAATACTTCAAACACCTTTATTTATTTTACTAGGGGGGGGGGGGGGCGGGGGGCGATGGCCGAAGGGTTAGCACACGCGCGCTGTATCATAAGGTCTGTCATTGAGTCAACTGGCGTGGTTTCAAATCCCCGGTTGTACGTGGCAAGGAGTAGGGTCACCTGTCCAACCTCGTGGGTTTTCTCCGGGTCCTCCGGTTTCTTCCCACTGCTAAAGACCCCTACGCGCAAGCGAATTATTGAATTAAAATTGAACCATGTGTTAGTCCCGAAATGACCTAGTTTTGGTCGAGTGGACGTTAAACCCCATTTCTCTCTCTCTTTTTATTTTTCTAATGCTTAAAAAATTGTTCTAGAATTTAATTTGCAGAAGGAAAAAAGTTAATAATTGGGGTTCATTACATAAGTCGCACCGATGTCATCCCTATCAGTGACTGTAGCGGCCTAGCGAATATTCACTGCTGATCAGTGCGGGTCTAATCTGATTAAAACACAGATCCTATTTCGTTTCGTTTTTTATAGTTCAAAATTTCGTTTTACTTGCCTTTACTACACTAGGATCTGGAAGAGTTGTTATATTACCGGCGGTTTGGTTGAAATGAGGGATAAACCAATGAAACGGACTGTTACGGCGACTTCTTGGCGTGCCATGCACGGAACTGTGGGTTAACCACTAGAAACGTCAACGCTGATTGATTAATCAATGTCTGACGTCATAGGGCCAAAAGTCGCTTGTACGACCCCTGACACGACCTTCGAGTACAACATGTCAGATCTCCATGTAGTGTAGGCCGTCGAAAGTATAAAAAAAAAACGATACGAAATATAGATTTGTATTTTTGTAGTCAGATTGGTGTGAGACGAGTCCTGCAATAGGCAGATTTAGCTCTTACATAATGCAGATTTAAACATAAATATCTCTACAAATGTGGTTCCATTTTGTTTTTTTTATTTCTTAGAATTCGTCAATAGGCAGACGAAGTGACTTATCTTCCTACCGTAACCTATTGACGATAAGTCACTTCGTCTGCCTATTGACGAATTGTTCAGTAGATAGATTGGGGCAGCTGATTGCTAAAAATTGTCAAGGAATCATTATAGAAATTATTGACAAAAGCTGATTCTGCGGGGTGGCCTTTGTATGGTACCCATATTTCACAGTAAGCGTTGCCATAGCAATGGTTGGACCAGGTATGAACGTAAGCGATTCGTTTGGTCGTTGGTTCAGATTTTAAAATGTCGAGGATGTACTCCTGCCAGAAATTGGGAAATTTGTTGATTCCATCCCCCATGTAGCCGGTCTCGGTCAGGGCAGGAATCTTGTTTCTCTTTTCCGCCATTTCGACGACATCTTTCACGCTCCGATGCAGAGTAGTTTTGAGATCCGAAGGACTGGCGTAATACCAATCCATGCCGAAAATATCCACGAAGTCGTCACCAGGATAAGTTTTGAGGTAATCGTCTTTGCTGGCGAATTTATCGGGACTGTAGGCGTAAAGGAAATTGTGAACACCCTTCTGATCTCTTAGATATTGAACGGTATAGCGATACAACTCTTGTAATTCTTGTGCGGTATTCTGAGCCTTGTTATTCAGTCCCCACCAAAACCATCCGCCATTCAGTTCATGTAAATATCTGAAGAAGAACAAGAAAAAGTCCATTAAACAGGCCATTTCGGGGCTGAATATACAATTTTCTCTGCGCACAAGACTCTATAGCTGTCAGTGGAAAATCAGAATACCTTGCGAAAATGAGCGAAATTAGAAAGGCGACTTACCCTTTGACTTTTGACGATCAACTTCATGATTTGCCTTGATGATAGATCACGTGATCTATATCCCAAGTATTAGACCACTCCACTGCGGTTAGATTAATTTGACATGGTCAAGCCCACAATTTCTTCAGGGTTACGAGATGTAAACAGGGCTAGCGCTGACCCTAACCCTAACCCAAGACCTAGCGCCCTCATACGCCTTACACTAACCCTAACCCAAAATCGTCGACAACAATCGCGTCCCCTAACCTTGTTTACATCTCGTGATCTAGCCACTTCACTACCCTATGCGACCTCCTTGGTTTTCTCCTAGCTCCTTTAGGAACGGTCTCTGACCTTTCCTATCTGCCCATATATCGCTGCATTGTGGAAATACCGCTCTTCCCCACCTCTGTTCTAAGGATATTTTGGATCCCTTACCTTCTACGTTCAACCATGATTCTTTTTTTTTATTTTTCGCCAAAAACAATGTGAGTGGGCGTTAAACCCCGTTGCTCTATCTCCCCATGTCTGACACACATTTATAATAATTCAACACTAATTTTCTCCAAGTCTTATGATTTTCTCACACTGCTATGCGCAAGCGAATTATTGAAAAAAAGTCCCGAAATGCCCTAATTTGTGTCAGTGGACATTAAACCCCGCTGCTCTATCTCCCCTACAAATTCAATAAAGTTATACCTGAAAATGGCAGGGATGAGTTTTCCTTGAGAGTCTGTGAAAGAGTGTGCCCATGAAGCAACCTCGTCAAGGACCTGATTAAGCTTTGAATTGTGATCCCCTCCTGGTAGGAGTCTTTTAACAGTCTTCAACGTATCCCCTTTATCACCCCCAATCCATGGGGATCCACCCGTCACTGGGTTTTTGAAATGTATCGATAACGTTATTATTTCATTCCTTTCATAAGCTCTTCTGCCCAACCAGTGGCTGGTGATGTTGGGTTTGTAGCTCCTATCACCAAGGTCCATTCCTAATATGGCAGGATATGACCCCGTCATTCTTTTGACGTCACATAGGTCATCTGGTTGTTGAGTCTTGGCTTGATAATCCTAAAAAAGAGTTAAATGAAATGAAATGAAATGGGGTTTAACGTCCTACTGTTCTGCTCCTATACTGGGCTAATGAAGACGAGCATACGCCATACAGTGTGAAATGAGGGAAATTTTGCCCGGGCAGCGGCACTATCGCCTACTCTTATATCGAATTCCAACTGCCAAGGGATCTTTTACGTGCATTCCAATGTATACACGGGATCTCGGTTATTCGTCTCATCCGAAGGACTAGACAACTGTCCTTGCCAGGCCCTCCGTCCTGCATCACTGACAAGGGGGAACCACGCCGGAAAATCTGGGTGAACTTTCTCGGCCAATGCAGGGATCGAACACCCGACTTCCAAGCTAGCGAGCCAGCGAGCCAGCGTCTTACCCACTTAGCCAAGTGATCCCCCTAAAGAAGAGTTAACCGGTTAGATCCAAATGAAATCAAGTTTAACGTCCTACTGTTCCGTTCTGACTTGGTTAATGAAGACGGTCATGTGCAATGGAGGAATTTTTTTCCCGGACAGCGGTGCTACGGCCTACTCTTATATCGAATTCAAACTGAAACAGGGATTATAAATCCGAAAACCGCACCAAGACCTGGGAAAATACAAAAATAAGGTTTAGGATCAACGATTTGGGCTTTAAAATACAGTCGGTAGGGTAACCGTAAACAGTCAATCTTGAGTAAGGCCCTACTTATAAGAACGTATCATTTATAATCATCATAATTAAAAATTAATATTAAAATTTGAGTTCTGCAAAAACACTGTTCCTTACCCCATAAATCCATGCGGAAAATCCATCATGTTGAAGTGTATCGGTTAAATATGGTGGATGGCCACCTTCTGCTCCTAACCAAGTAAATTCCTGCTGACCAAACAAAATCTGCGTTTCATCTTTAGAAACAGTCTTCAAGTACTTGTAAAGATTTTTGGTTTCGTTGGTGGCTTTTGGGTCAACTTGCGCAGCTATTGTTGTAAATAGTGTAAAACTTAAAACGGTTAAAAGATACATTTTCTGTGTGGGTATATACACTGTAATATCTACTTCCCAGAAAGCCAGGAATCGGGCGAGCACCTGTAACTGAGTACTTTAATCAAATAAAATCACATCACGTTATATTAATGTCATTAGGTACCAAATGTTTATTTTCACAGAATGACCTTAGAGATAAGTTGATAAGTCACAGATAAGACTACCCGATACGCACTGATAAAAAGGTGGGACACCATTCCAGAATAATACATAACTTACAATCAAAGCCGCTGCTGAGAGAATTCGTATGCAAGGGAGCAAGACAAATTTTGACCCCTCCCCCACCCCACAACACACACAGACATACCTACGCAAGAATATTAAAGAGAAAGAAAGAGAAAAATGGGGGATTCAGAGAAAACCCACGAGGTTGGACAGGCAACCCTACTCCTTATCACGTACAAAAGGGGAATCGCAAAGATATAAAAATCATAACCTTCTAACTTTACACCCACATGGCTGGACAATGGCTATCTGAATATACAGATCTATATTTCGTTTCGTTTTTTTATACTTCCGATGGCTTACACTACATGAAGATCTGACCAGTTGTAGCAGGGGGTGGCATCATGGGTCAGATATTTGATTAACCAATCAGCATCGGTGTTTCTAGTGGGATACCCACAGTTCCGTACATCACACGCCAAGAACTTGTTGTAACAGATCGCTTCAACGGATAATCCCACACATCAACCAGAACACGTCAATGATAAAAACTCTTCCAGATCCTAGCGTAGTAAAGACAAGTAAAACAAAATTTTGAACTATAAAAGCGAAACGAAATAGGATCTGTGTTTTAAACAGACTGAGAGAATGGGATTGGATCGGGGGTTCTACTACACGAATACCGACCATATTGGGGTTTTAACTGTACTCATGCATAGCCAGAGTAGGGCATTTGGGATCGCCGGTTGGATGGGGGGCTTTGCGGCACGATTACTGTCTATGCCCACGTAAAAACAAAATTAAATAGATGTTTATGGGCCCTGGGGCGATGTACTGGCTGCATCCACATTCCTCGCCTTGGGCCTGCTTATAGTTAGGACAAATTCAACTTAAGAACGATCCTTCTCTTACGGGTCCTGTCCGATACAGAACTGACCGTTCTCGCTATAACAGTTTAAAAATAGACAATGAGAATTGAATATGTTGAAAACTGTAGTTAAATTAATTCATTCCGAGCGCTGAGTTATGGCTGTTAGAAGAACAGTGTAGTTTCGATTGTCATTGCTACGGTTATTACAATAATAAACAAAGTCTCGATTATCCATTTTTTAATTAAATTATAAAATGGCGATCATGTTTCCATCCATTAAAAATCACAACCATCCGATGGTCTAGAGAGTGAATAAATGTCTAAATTAAAATCTATAATTATAACAAGGAATGATCTGCAATAGGCAGATTTAGCTCATACAGAATGCATCAATTCAACACTCTATTTTAACCTTTAATCAAAGACGGATATTACTTAACTCCCTTCAGAATAACTCAGAAATTTGGGCAGACATATATGTTTGAATATCTGACAACTCATCCCAAAGACAACTCATCCCAATATAAGACAACTCTTCCCAAGTCAGAAGACAACTCATCCCAAGATATATCGGCTATACTGAAACTCATGAGTTGTCTTATATTGGGATGAGTTGTCTTTGGGATCAGTTGTCTGTATATACCATATGTTTAAAACTGACATGGTACTTTCATTTTATTTTTATTTGAAAAATACAACACAAAGAAAAACAAATTACAAACAAATTGTACAATAACTACAATAGATATAAAGATAGACATATACTAATATGGTCAACAACAACATTTACAAGGCAAAAATAAAATGAAATGGGGTTTAACATCCTACTGTTCTGCCATACAGACATACCATACATGCCGTATGGGGATACGATGAAATGAAATGGGGTTTAACGTCCTACTGTTCTGTTCCGACTGGGCTAATGAAGATGGGTATACCCCATACAGTGTGTTAGGACTAAGAGGAAAATTTTGCTCAGACAGCAGGCTACGGCCTACTCTTATATCGAATTCCAGCTGCCAGTGCACGCCAATGTGTACACCGTATCTCGTTTTTTTGTACCATATGTCCTAGTCCTAGTCTGACCCCCCCTTCCCTTCCTGCACCTTGGCAAGGGGAAACCATGCCGCAAAATTACATGGCAATGAATTTACACACCTCACAATTCCATGGAATATGATTACTGCTTATTACTAAGTGACTTTCAACAAGGCTTGATAAAGAGAGGGGGGGGCAGAAAGAGAGAGAGAGAGAGAGAGAGAGAGATGGGTTTAACTCCACTCAACACAAACTAGGTCATTTCGGGACTAACATATGGTTTAATTTTAATTTCAATAATTTGCTTGCGAGTAGGAGTCTTTAGATGTGGGAGGAAACCGGGGAACCCGGAGAAAACCCACGAGGTTGGACAGACAACCCTACTCCTTGCCATGTACAATTGGGGAATCGAAACCACGCCAGTTGACTCAATGACAGTCCTTATGATACAACGCGCTCGCGCTAACCATTCAGCCATCCAACCCCCCTCTAGGCTTGATAAAGACTAGAGATCCATAGAGAAATTCAGTCGAAACGTCACTAAAGACCCCTACTCGCAAGCGAATTATGAAATTAAAATTGAACCATATGTCAGTCCCGAAATGACCTAGTTTGTGTCGAGTGGACGTTAAACCCCATTTCTCTCTCTCTCACAGTTATGTTATAATCAATCTGGTTTAAATGTCTGTGTAAATATTTTACGATTTAATTCAGATAATATAATATTATATGTATTTAATTTATCTTGAGGAACACCCGAAAAAACATCTTCTTCTATTGGCTTACTATTCTCTGAAAAAAACAAATTTTAAAATATATTTCACATAGTTCATTCAGTAGATAGTACGACTTAAGAGCGACAAAACTTAAGTTTCATGCCACACTTCCTCATTGGGGTTTAACGAACTACTGTTCTGGTCCTTAACTTGGCTAATGAAGACGGGCATACGCCATACAGTGTGCTATGAGGCCTACTCTTATATCGAACTCCAACTGCCAAGGATCTTTTACATGCCCGCCAATGTATACATGGGACTTTGGTTTTTTTGTCCCATCCGAATGACTAGACAGCTATCTTTGTTAGACCCTCTGTCCTGCACCACTGACAAGGGGCAAACCACATCAGAAAATGGACTAGCAGGCGTGCAATTTACAGAATATAACTGATAGATGATAAATCATTTTATATACTTTCATATTACATTAATATGTGCTCTTAGACCCATTTTCATCCATATTAATGTTCAAAAGAAGAAGCATACTCTCTTTAAAATTAAAATACAGATCTATATTTCGTTTCACTTTTTATATTTTCGTTGGCCTGCACTACATGAAGATCTGACCCGGGGTCATACGATCGGCTTTGGACCCTATAACATCAGACATTTGATTAACCAAACAGCATTGATGTTTCAAGTGGATATTTGGAAATACAACCGTATGTCTGCCAACAGTTCTGTACACCGCAGGCTAACAACTCGCCACAACAGACCGTTTCACTGGCTAATCCCTCGCAGCAAACATAACATGGGTTATATATAGAGAGAGAAATGGGGTTTAACGTCCACTCGACACAAACTAGGTCATTTTGGGACTAACACGTGGTTCAATTTTATTTAAATAATTCGCTTTCGCGTAGGGGTCTTTAGCAGTGGGAGGAAACCGGAGTACCCGGAGAAAACCCACAAGGTTGGACGGGCGACCCTACTCCTTGCCACGTACAACCGGGGAATCAAAACCCCGCCAGTTGACTCAATGACAGACCGTATGATACTGGCGTGCATGCTAACCATTTGGCCATCCAACCCCCCATGGGTTATATAATAACTCTTCCAGATCCAAGTGTAGTAAAGACCAGTAAAATGAAATTTTGAACTATCAAAAACAAAACGAAATAGGATCTGTGTTTTAATCAGATTGAGAGAATGGGATTGGATCGGGGGTTCTACGACACAAATACCGACCATAATGGGTTTCTAACTTTACTCCTGCATAGCCAGAGTAGGGCATTTGGGGTCGCCGGTCGGATTGGGGGCTTTTTAATCAGATTGTTTAAAATACAGATCTAAATCTTGTTTTTGTTATTTTTTAAAACCTTCAAAAATATAGGTTTATAAATACAGGCTTTAAAGATACATTCACGCGTACAAACTGGGTGATTTAATGGTATATATGGACTAAAAACATATTCAAACTAATTAATTTGTCATAATTTTGCTTCAAATCCTTCTCAAACATTGTAATTGCCAAGGAATGCCCTGCTATAAAAATTCGACCAAACCAGATGTTTATGTCACGTGACTTACCTCCCTCGGACGTCAGAGGAGAATTCATTGCATAGATAAGACGATGTTGTCTTTAATCGCTTACTATTTATTACAAATATCAAATCCTAATTAAATTCTCGGATTATCCACTACCCGCGTCTTTTTCCGTCATTTATCAACTTGTACATCAAGCGCTCAATGTTCGCGTGTGACCTTTGACATCACGCGTGCAGAAATTCCTAATCGTCGGGCTGTCGATTAGGGGAACCCTTACATTTTTGTCCTTTATACGCTCCATGAGTGTTTTTCGGGGAATCCAGTATTTTTCTAGTAAGATTGGATATTTCTACTTTCCATATATACCAAAATTACCATACTTTTATTGGAAATAACCACGCGATAAATACTTTTCTGGGGACCCATCTTTAATTAAAGTGATCAAAATATTTCATAACAACAAAAGCATTTGGTAGAACGATAAAATCAATATATTGTTGATTCAAAATTTGAAATGACACTGATCAAAGGGAAATAACTCTTGTTTACGTTTTTCTATCTATTACTGACCTGCTACAGGTGTGGTTGGTTCTGAAGTCTTTGCTTTATTTACTGAACCTTTAGGACGACCTCGCTTTTTCTTAGGACTTTCTTCTTCCTGAAACCACAATTAATACTTTTATACACTGTAACCCGGGTAACCGATCTGATTAAAACACAATTAATACTTTTACACACTGTAACCCAGGTAACCAATCTGATTAAAACACAATTAATACTTTTATACACTGTAACCCAGGTAACCAATCTGATTAAAACACAATTAATACTTTTATACACTGTAATCCGGGTATCATTTAATCTTGTGTATCTTGATTATTGATTTACAAGGATTATTTTTTAACAGTGATCGAGAAATTGAACGCTTGTAAATGACACTCAATATCAAAATTAATCGTTCAGCTTTAAACTGGACACATGTACAAATTAGACAGATTTTTGTGTGATTTTAAATGATTTTTACGAAATTTTCAAACAAAGATTTGATATTAAATGAATGTGAAAGAAATTAGTTCTAGATACAACTTGATACCTGGTTTACAGTGATGGTAGTACAAATAAAACTGGAGGACCCAGAGGAAACCCACGAGATTGGACATGCGACCCTACTCCTTAGTCTGGGGTATGGACTGGGCATTGAATGCAACAATGCCGATTTGTTTAATGACAGACCTTATGATCTAAAGTGCACACATCCAAAGTTTAATAAATACATTTTGAGCTGGTGTAACATATTTAAGGAGCCCCCCCCCCCCATAAATAAATATCTCCAAATATCTCGACAATTACACCACAATGTCTATATATACACCAAGCCTTAAATCTGTTTGGCACAGTTATAGTCACTAAATAAACGGTCATGTTATACTTAAAGATACATTATGGGAGATAAGATAAAGAGATGGCAGTTCTCGCTATAATAGTTAAAAACTAGATAGTGTAATGGTAATTTGCTGAAAATTTCAGTCAAATTGATCCACTATGAGCCGAGAAAGAAGCGGGTGAAATTTTTGCATAGATTCGGTCATCATTACTAAAATCATTAATATAAACAGCATAGACTCGATTATCCGCTTTTTTTTATTTAATTGTCAAAGGCCGTTAGTGACATATAGGAATCTAATCCAGCCAACATCGAAGGCTAGCCTTGACATCAAGAGTTGATTATGGTCTGGATAAGTATATAAATGTCTAATTGATCATTAAGATAACATTTCAGGCCTAAAGAAAGACTTGTAATAAGCAGATTTTGCTCTTGCATAATGCATGTTTAATAAGCTATGACCATTTAACCATCCATAAATAATACACTGAAAGATGGTTACGAGTGTCAGCCATAACATCCGAGAACATGCGAGTAAAAAATAGGTTACATGCCCTTTTTTTTAAATTAGTCTCGTTTAACCAGTCTACCGACCATTCTACGTCTGATTGACAGGACTACTTTTTTTATGAAACATTCGCCGTGTCGAGACCAACTTTCGGTACAGAAAGTTTTGGGTGCACGAGTCACCGTAACATATTCTCCAGACATCCCTGTCATCCATACTAAACTTAGGCTGTCTGTCTACAGTTAGCTCTGTTTGAGAATAGACACTAAGCTAGCTGACCAACATTTTTAAGTCCTAAATCGACCGATTTTAGTCAAAAACAATAAGTATATTTCGAGAATTTTGAGAAGTATGTATTCTGCTTCCATTTAAAAAATTGAAAAGGTTTAATTAATCTTTTTGTGTATAACAGATGTGAACAGGAAAAGGGAGAGAGAGAGAGAGAGAAATGGGGTTTAACGGCCACTCGACACAAACTAGGTCATTTCGGGACTAACATATGGTTTCATTTTATTTCAATAATTCGCTTGCGCGTAGGGGTCTTTAGCAGTGGGAGGAAACCGGAGGACCCGGAGAAAACCCACGAGGTTGGACAGGCGACCCTACTCCTTGTCACGTGAACAGGAAAAGGATCGCATTCCAAAACAGTATTCTAATTGTTGGGTATGGCAGCCATTTAGGGCAAAGATCTATTTTCGAGGGATGCAGAATGATCTGTCAGTGCAGAAAAGTAGGATGTTAAACCCCATTTCATTTCAGTTTTAGACCCATTTTCTGAGTCTTTAAAGAGATCATCTTGATTTTAACAGAAATAAAAATCTGTGTATCTATGAAATTTAAGAGCCATTCCACAAGAAAACCATGCAATATCAGGCAGATGTTCGAAGGTGGGGGTCGGCTGATTAAGTTCATACTCACAGGGTTTGGTTGACCCATCGAGCCTACTCCCCAGCCAAAATCGCCGATTTAAAAAAATCAACCGTTTCCGAGATATAGGCTGATTACGTTTTTCGGCTGATTACGTTTTTCGGCTGATTTTTGTCATTTTTAGGCCAAATTTTAGCTATTTTTGTTGCACTTCTACCGCTGTTGCATGACCCTGGCGAACTAGGTTTTGGTTGTTCGTGATAGTCGGGGTCATACCCTATCACATTATCATGGCCACCCGGTTCAAGCTCATTTTCCATAGGTGTCAGGAGACTACACCAGATACTTGTCTGGAGATACCTGAAATGTACCCTATCTTCAGATCGCGATAACTCCACTGGAGCAGGGTTTGTGATAAAAATTAAAATCAATTTATTTGCAGCTTGACCAGTTCTAACAACATAAGAAATAAAATCTTTGTCAACTAAATTGCATAAGTATGAAAATTCATGTCGAAAGTTACCAAAAACTTTAGTTTTGATTGGGATACATCAGCGGATTATTCAGGTACCCAATGGCCAATATTGTTATTCAAAGGGTCAATATATCAACTCCAGCTCGACTTCAACCCGCTTTGCCAAAATATTCAGTCTCGGTGTGGTTTGGTATCCAGTCTACAAATCCAAAATGGCGTCTCCCAGTGAATATGGATTTTCGCAAATTCTCGATCTAGAATGTCGATCCGGATTATTTAAACATTTTTTTTCTATGAAAAATGAGAAATTTCAATTCAAAATTTTGAAAAACAGTCGACTTAGAGCAGATGAAAGTCGACAATTATGCAAAACAGACCCAATTTCCATGAAAATCGCCTATTTAGTCTTCACCGTGACCTTCAATTGCGAGGTCATCAGGGATACAATTTGAAGTTCACACGTTGCTCTATCGACAAACCATATCTCATTCGAAAATATTGAAAAACAAATAAGTTAGAGTTGGGATTTAAAAAATTTTCTTGTCCGACATTTTACCGAAAATAAAGGGGTATAACTCTTATCGTTATTTAAGCAGACGGATTCATACCACAATTGAAAATCACGTGTCAACAAAATATTCGAATCCGCACGTAATAAAAATAGGAACACCTCGCTATTTTTGTACGCCCACATTCTCGTGTGGATGTATATTGGCCGCCCGTCCGTCAACAATTTGTTTATGGGCACTCTACAGGTCACAATTTTTATACATTTTTAACAAAACTTGAAATATAGGTTTATGTCCATAAGAATTCGGCTCCTGTCGATATTGGTATGTATCGGACCGTAACTTCATGGACTATGGTCCCTGAACTTACGAAAAATCACGCCTTTAGCTTGTGGACACTGCACATTGAGGTTTCATTTTTTATCCGATTTTGATAAAAGGTACGTTTATAACCCAATGAACTCGGTTCCTTTCGATATTCTCGCATATCGGATCTTAACTTCCTGGATCGTGGCCCATGATTGTACATTAAGTCGCGTTTTCAGCTTGTAGCCCCTCTAGAGGTCACTATTTTTTTTTTCGATTTTTAAAAACGCTAATGATGGCGGAGTTCGAATTTCGTGAAAATCGGATCGAAACTGCCGAGAAAATGGCCGCTCCTTGTACGCAAATAGTGTAAAAGTATGTAATTCCAAGTTTGTGGACACCCTCGAGGTCACAATTTATATCTGATTTTCATGAGACTTAAAATAATTATATTTAGATTCCAAAGATCTCGGTCACTGTCGATATTCGTGCATATCGGACCGTAACTTCGTGGAATATGAACCCCGATTTTAAGAAAAATTGCGATTTTAGCTTGAAGTTCCTCTTGAGGTCACAATTTTTATCCGATTTTAAAAACCGTTTCAATATATCACCGTTACGCCCTAATGACAACTAAGTTCGATTTTCATGAAAATCGGAGCAAAACCGCTGGACAAAATGGCCACTCCTCATAAGCAAATAGTGTAAAAGTATGTAATTCCAAGATTGTGGACACTCTAGAAACACAATTTTTATCCGATTGTGATGAAACTTAAAATGTTTGTTTATATCCTAAAGATCTCGGTTCCTTTCGATATTCGCGCATATCACATCATAGCTTCCTGAATTATGATCCCTGAATATATAAAAAACACGTTTTCATCTTGTAGTCCCTCTTAATGTCACAATTTTTGTTCGACTTGATGAAACTTTTATATTATATACTTTTATATCCCAAAGATCTTGGTTCCTTTTGATATTGTCGCATGTCGGACTGTAACATACTGGTTGTACAAAAAATCACTTTTTATTTAGCTTGTATCTTGCATGACACCCGCTTATTCATATATATTTAATAATATATATTCCTACAAAATTACGTGTTTTCGTAATACGATAGAATGAAATTTGCTGATCCGCGCCTGTTTCAATCAAATTCACGCCAGTAATATTCCCCCAAAATTACGAGTCTTCGTTTATACGTCAGCAAATGAAGAAAGGCGTCCGAAATAAGAATTTTTTGTGGTGATGTCAAATCATTTTCGTAAAATGGTATTTTGAAATTACATTGATAGTTACATATCTTCGGCGTATTGGCGTATGTGACCGTTAACATATAACACATACAGTTTGTTTCGTAGTAAGCACTGCCTTACATAGTAAGCGATTTTCGTGCGATAATCGAGATCGCGGGAAAGTGCCACTGTAGATGGGAATTTATATATGGTGCCTTAAAAGAAGTAGTTTCATTACGAGAATAAGTTAATGGTTTAACAATAGACAGAGGTTTTGAAATTTATAATGACTGTCCATTGATTTGGGGTGTTATATACTATTAGGATAATATGTGACATCAAGGACTAGTTTCTACATGCTGTCGGTTGATATCAATGGATTAAACTTTCCGGCAATGGAGAAACCACCGAGGTAATCACGTAGATAAGGTTGATACTCATTATTGGATTGATGAAAAGTCCGACAAAAGAGAAGCAATGACTTCTGTTCAAGATTAGATTGGTGAATTTCCCGACAAAGGCAGATTAAGCAGGTAAACAACGTAGGTGTATAGACGGTATAATACGATAAATACGCTGATCACGTAATTACCTAATCAATCCAGCCTATTATCAACAATTGTCGGGATGAGTGGTAGTTATGAATTCAGTTTACTATATTATTTTTGAAATTCTGAATATTATTCATCATACTTTGATGTCCATTTGGAAAATAGCATAGGACATGTCCGGAATATACGGGCGAAATCCCAATACTTAAGAAACTGAAATTCGACATGAAAAGTGAGGTTGCATTGGGTGACCATTATAATATGGTAGGGTGAGACCTGGACTATAATCACCAACCAAAACTTAGTTCGCTATTGGTCGATTAACGGCTACAGTAATGCTACAAAAATGGTCGAAATTTGACCTGAAAATGACGAAAATAAGCCGAAAAACGTAATCGGGCTGTATCTCAGAAACGGTTGATTTCTAAAATCGATGATTTTGGCTGGGGAGTAGGCTCGATGGGTCGACCGAACCATGTAAATATGAACTCAATCGGCCGACCACCACCTTCGAACCTTCTGCATGGTTTTCTCGTGGAATGGCTCATAAGTGTCACAATATAGAGGAATGCAATGGTGTATTTACCTTGTCTCAAAATTTCAGCTCAAAATATTGAGTTGTTTGGACATGAACTTCAAAATCGCTTATCAGGACAAATAACCCTTTTAAGATTTCAAGTCAATTTTTTCGTGTTGGGTAACCTAATAATCGAATGCTGTTCCTTTAGAGGTCTATACAGTGCATGACACATGTGCTGTACTTGATAACGAAATGTAAATTTCAACTACACTTTATTTTTATAAAATAAGTCTGGTTTTATCCAGACACCATATACTACAGACTGAAGGAGTTGGTTTAAGTTGTTTGAAAACGTATCACGTATATTGAGTTAGTTGCTCGTCCCTAAGGTAAAGGATTTTAAGGGCTTTTAACACGAAATTAAGCAGTTTTATTCTCCAAAATATTATCGTGATTGGCCCTTTATAGAAATCATGTTCAGTACTTACTTCCTTGGACTTTTTGGGTTTGAGCTGCCTGGAACTATATTCTAGATCTAAAGAATTAAAGAAATCTGGTCGGACTCTTTTAGTTCTAACAGTTCTTCTTCTCTTTCCTTCACTTGATTCGTTCGATCCTTGATCACATTCTTAGGTAAAAGAGAAAGGTAAAGCCTATAATTCATTTTCAATTTAACAGACAGTGCCACAAACTAGGTCATTTTAGGACTAACATGCGGTTTAAATTTATATCAATAATGTTCTTGCTCGTAGACATCAGTGGGATGAAACAGGAGAAAACCCATGAAATTGAACAGGCGGGAGAGAGAGAGAGAAATGGAGTTTAACGACCAATGACACAAACTAGGTCAGTTTGTGACTAACATATGGTTCAATTTTATTTTAATAATTATTCGGGGGGGTTGGATGGCTGAATGGTTTTACGCGTGTGCGCAGTATCATAAGGTCTGTCATTGAGTCAACTGGCATGGTTTAGATTCCCAGGTTGTATGTGAGAAGGAGTAGGGTTGCCTGTCCAACCTTGTGGGGCTTGTGCATCGGGGCCTTTATCAGTGAAAGAAAACCGGAGGACCCAGAGAAAACCCACGAGGTTGGACAGGCGACCCTATTCCTTTTCACATACAAGCGGGGAATCAAACCCATGCCACTTGACTCAGTGAAAGACCTTATGATACAACACGTTAACCATTCGGCCACCCAAACCAACTTAAAATTAAGATGAAACGAAATTTAGGTACGCCTGGTGCGAAAAAATTGGGATTTTTGAAAGAATTTGATTGTAAATTATTGTAATGTAGCTAGGCAAAGCAATAAATCACTGAAGATTCTGAACTTTTCAAAGATTTCATTTTTTTCATCCCAGGCTTACCTAAATTTCGTTTCATCTTATATGGCCGAGTTCTTAAATTTGTGCGTTACTCTTTCAATGATGTCCGCCAAGTCGGTTAGAAGACGAAGACATATTTTTTAACAGCGTGTTGTGTTACTCATACTGACTCTAGCGAGGTAAGCAAGGTCTTATTTTCTCACTAAGATGTTCATTTATATTGTTCAGGCGTTCACAGGGACTGACACGCGACCGTTTAGCAGTAAAAAGTTGCCCAGTTAAATTGACTGGGAAACCAAATCTGGTCGACAAGGATTCAATAGAAGGGTCCCTGAATGATGAGACCTACATTCAGAGCTGAACTACTGTTCTAAAGTGCATGCTACAGACCATTCGGCCACCCCTCATCTGCCAAGTCGATGTAAAAGCTTACCTCTTTCATCTGGTAAAGATGATGTAGATGAGGATGTACGAACTCTAGTCGTAAACTGATGTCCACAACTACAATATCTACACGCTACAGGTATCTATAAATAAAGATATCAAATACATTAACTTAAGATCTTAAGTCGTAAACTGATGTGCACACAATGCTGTATGTACACACTAAATATATCTATAAATAAACATATCACATACATTAACTCAGAGATTTGTGCTGTCAGCGAATGGTCGCCATGACAGCTCGGCTGACAAGAACAATGTAAATATTGGAAACAAGTGGCTATGATATCATTTTTCAGGGGGGGGGGGGGGGGCGGCTTCCATTTTGGTATTTCTCCATGTCAAAAGCTTGTGGGAATTCAATTTTTTCAAGAGAGAACTTTTTTATTCGTTGGGATATTAAATTGTGCAATGGATTTTATTTAACAGGAGTTGATTTCAATGATTTCAAACATACAGGAAAGTTTATAAGCATGGACCACTCGAACCAAAGACCACTCGGACCAAGACCAGTCGGACCAAAAAAAAGACCACTCGGACCAAAACGGAGACCACTCGGACAAACTTAAAAGACCACTCTGACCAACCCAAAAGACCACTCGGACCAATCAATTTATGTTGGAAGATCACTCGGACCAATATTTGTGTTGCCTCTCGCACCAATCAATTTATGTTGGAAGACCACTCGGACCAATATTTATGTTGCCTCTCGGACCAATTAATTTATGTTGGAAGACCACTCGGACCAATACTTGCCTCTCGGACCAATCGATTTATTTTGGAAGACATAAATTAAACCACATTTCTTTAATAGTTGGCTTGTCAACAAATAAAATTGTAGATTTCATTTCTTAGCTTTCTGGTTGATGCGATTATGCCAGCCTTCGACATCGTTGTTGGTCCTGACGAAATTGGCCATACAGTATTTTCTATCTAATTTGTTCGTTGTCGACCTTTTCCTCCAGTTTTGTAAAAGCCGGCACAATATGCTCCGATGGCAAAAATGGCAAGAACTTATAAATTTACTAATGACACAGTACAGCCTCCTGCCTTGGTCGAACTAAAGAATCGCAAATTATACACGTAACGAATATTTTGACAAATGATAATGAAATATACATTTTACATGTTTATATACAATTTAAGTGCTTGGACATTACTCCAATCACACCAATTAACAATGAATCAATTTTCTTTCATGTGCTTCATCTACTTTATTACCTTGTAACATGGATGAGTACATGATCAACACATACTAATGTATTAATCACTACTCATTTATCGTTGTTTTGTTAATTAATCTTCTTTGATGTGCTTCATCATGATCAAATACCACGGGTAAGTACATAACACTTATAATTTTCATATTAAAACAAACACAATTTATTAGCGATCCGAGTAGTCATACAAAACACTTATAATTTTCATATGAAAACAAACACAATTTATTAGCGATCCGAGTAGTCATATTAAAACAAACACAATTTATTAAAACAACAATTTATTAGCAATCCGAGTAGTCATATTAAAACAAACACAATTTATTAAAACAACAATTTATTAGCGGTCCGAGTAGTCATATTAAAACAAACACAATTTATTAAAACAACAATTTATTAGCGGTCCGAGTAGTCATATTAAAACAAACACAGTTTATTAAAACAAAACTTTATTATTGGTCCGAGTGGTCTTTTTGTTTGGTCCGAGTAGTTTTTTTTGTATGGTCCGAGTAGTCTTTTAGTTTGGTCCGAGTGGTCTATCAATTGGTCCGAGTGGTCTTGGTCTTGGTCCGAGTGGTCTTTGGTCCGAGTGGTCATGCATTCATATCTAATAACCAAAGTTAAGTAGTTTGATAATAATCGAAGAAATCAGTTTAAAATCTACGATGGTTTAGACAGTAGATTGAGGAAAAAACATATCATATCTGAATGAATCGCCGGAGGTTAGATTGCTTGACATTAATGATTAAGACTGGAGGAGAAAGCAGGAAAATCGAAGATTCCACAGGCATTGCAATTCTGTTCCTTTTTTTATTGTACAATTTGTATATTGCCTAGTAGTGTATAGTGTATACTGTACATAGAAATTCTGACTCCTGAGTCCTGTGGCTAAAATTAAAAAGAAACTAAAAAAAAAAAAAAAAACGAAGACAACAAAGCAAAATTGCGATTGGTAAACGACTTGAACGAAAACAGATAACTCACCTGTTGTCCACAAATTGGACATTTCTTAACAACCGTTCTATCGAACTTCCGTCTGCCCATTTCTATTCAAATTTCATTCACAAAACCTTCAAAATGTTGTTCTTTAAGCTTTCATCTTCTTGTTCTTCTCTTGTTTTTATTTTGACCGGAACCGGAAATTCCGACATGACTGAGTTGTACTTGATTACTTGATTTTCAGTAAGAAATGGGCGCGCGGCAAGCCGAATGCGGAGGCTTTCAATATCGACAACGATATAACCGACGGCCAAATCTAAGCGCCGTGAGCGCCGAGCCGATCATTTAAAACAGTTGGTAAATGACCTTAATTAGATAAATATAGGTATGATCTGGGATAAAAAAAAAAAAGTTGAAATGAACTAAATTTTGACAAGTAGTAGAGCACGGGACAAATTATGCAGGGGCTATATAGATAATAACTAAACTGCAATCGTTTTACTACACAGAACTAAAATCCCAAAGTGGGCTACTATTTACGACCAGGGGTCTGTTTCACGAAATTTTAACTAAGATAAAATCCAGATTTTAGTAATTTGATTGGATAATATTAGATAGATTTTAGTGCTTAGCCAATCAAAATTGAAGTATCTACTACAGTTAAAATTTCGCGAAACAGGGTCCAGACTGTTTGATTCAATAGACGTCATTGGTTTGATCGTTATGATCAAAGTGGGGCCGTTATGACTATGTTAGCGCCGTTTTGACCAAAATGGATTTTGGCCGTTATGGCTTAGAGCCGTTATGACCCTCTTCTTACCTGAGAGCCGATTTTTCCGACTATAGAATTTATCTTTAAATCTTGGGGTATAGCGATTTTTTTTTTTTACTTCATTTCTACTTTCGGATAGATCATATTTTTAAAGTATCAATTCTACGGTGGATTCTCTTTAGTCATAAATAGGCGCGCCGTTAATAAAGGTGCACAATATCGGATAACGGGCACAATATGCACGTGAATATGCACATGCACGTGAATGTAATTAAATAAGGGGAAAGACACATAAATAAAAACTGATGGAGACATTCTAAAATCGCTTCCATTTTTTTTTTTATTTACTAAAAAGGGCGATAATAATTTGTCGTTAATCCATAAACTACTATATTAACAACTAACACGAAAACTATCGGAGAATGTACAGTATAATTATAAATTAAAATGAAATATTGGGTAAAAAAAAGAGAAAGAAAAGAAACGCAAAACAAATAATAACCATAAAACAGAAACAAAAAAATGTGCTCAGATGTACTCACGCGATCTATGGTTTTATGAAAATAAAAATTATAACTAAGGCAATTAGGTCTTATATATACTGGTAACGCGGACGTGATTGAAAACAATTAAAATGACGTCATTGAAATTATTCCAACTCCCAAAATTCTTAAAACTGTGTTTCTTTTTTGTGGTAAATCATCAGTTAAAGTTGGTAAATTGATGATAACCTACTAATTTAAACTGTGCAATATTATGTTTGAGATTTTCTATTGAAGGATATTTAAAAAATAACTGAACGTCAAAGGTATGCAAATAAAAAGGGCCAAAAGTTAGTTTTTTTCGCCCCATTTTCAAAAACAATTTTATCTATGGGACGAAAAAACGAGGTCCCGTGTAGCCTTCACATTGGCGTGCACGTAAAAGATTCCTTGGCAGTTGGAATTCGATATAAGAGTGTCGTAGAGCTGCTGTCCGGGCCAAATTTCCCTCATAGCATACTGCACGGCGTATGCCCGTCTTCACTAGCCCATTCGGAGCAGAACAGTAAGACGTTAAATCCCATTTCAGTTCATTTCATTTTGATTTAATATTTACAATTATTTGTAATAACAATAATGGCGATAATAATTTGTCGCTAACACTTAAACTACTATATTAAAGACTAAAAAGAAAATATAAAAGAAAAGCAAATAATAACCATACAATACAAAACCAGGGGTGGATCCGGGAATTTTTGCAGGAGGAGGTTTGCCTGGTTCCTGCTAAGGAAATTTGACAGTTATCAATGCGTGACGCCTCCATCGTCTCCAAATTTCGTAGGCATACACACACACTGAGCTTTTTAAAGACAGAAATCCAACATTCCGTTTGACGTCAATTTTTATTATGAATTAATACGATAACATTGTGATTCAGTTTCATTGATGCACAGCATTAACTGTGATATCACATATGTCTATGTCTATATCATTATCTTGCGCTTTGAATGCTCATCCCATCATCTGATGATAAGGATAAAGCACACGAACCGTGACACAAAAGTGTTGTTTTACATTTTTTTTATGTAGCTGAGCAGGGGAGCCCCCCCCCCCCCACCACCACCACTGGATCCGCCCCTGCAAAACCCGACGTTACATTCAGGTAGTGGGGTCCTCCTGCACTTACTATTTGATATACAGTTGTACATGTAGTATACTGTTTGTATGAATGTATTGAGTTGTCTATGTAAGTGTGGTTTAATGGTCGAGAGCGAGACATTAAGTAATATATTGTAACAACATGAGGGCCGTGAGGCCCGAATGTTTTTACAATATATTACGCAATGTCTTAAGCTCAAGACCATTAAACAACTTAAAATACAGACACTTGCACGTGCTTTGCAATGAAATACGTCACTCGAGTTCAATATTTTACCAAGTTACGCTTGGCACATTGCCCGTACGATTATTTGAAATAATGGTAGGCCGACTCCAACATCAAAGGATGACGTTACATCTGTATTTTAATATGTAGACCTAGTGTGCAAACCCCGAACAGACAGACAGACAGACAGACAAACGACAGTCACAAATATATATATAGATAGATAGATTGAATGTATATGACTATGTCTAATTAAGTGTATATATGCATGCTGTCCTTCATGGAAGTTTTGATGCAATAAACATATTATCTTATCTTATCTTATCTTCAGCTTGTCGCAAAAATAATGAATGTTATTTAAACAAAAATTCAAATAAGATCGTTTCAAAGCTTTTCGATCACTACGCAGAGCTCGGCTAACGTGTAGAATCCTTCGAACTGCACAAATCATGATAGCTGACTGCTACATACTAAACCAACATCCCGTTGGCGTACATGTAAAACCCTTGACAGTTGGAATTCGAAATAAGAGTAGAACGTATATCGCTTCTGCCAGGATAATATTTCCCTTATATCATATTGCATGGCGTATACATGCCTGTCTTCATAATAGCCCGGGAAGTTGGATGGCCGAATGGATAGCACGTGGACGTCGTATCATATCGTCTGTCATTGAGTCAACTGGCATGGTTTCGATTCCCCGGGTGTACGTGACAAGGAGTAGGGTCGCCTGTCTAACCTTGTGGGTTTTCACCGGCTCCTCTGGTTTCCTCTCACTGCTAAAGACCTCTACGTACAAGCGAATTATTGAAATAAATTGAACCATGTGTTACTCTCTCTCTTCTCTCTCTCTCTCTCTTCTCTCTCTCTCTCTCTCTTAATAGCCCTATTGGTAAAGAAAAGTAGGACGTGAAATCCCATTTTATTCATTCATTCTTTTGCCATTAAAAATTTCGGGCGATCATGTTTGATCCGACTCCCTTTTCTATTTCCATCACATTAACACCGAAAAACTAGCGGTTAGCCGTCCGTACTGTACGTGTCCCCATGGTACTTCCTACTTTCTATTAGGGTTAGGATTAGGGTTAGGGTTAGGGTTAGGGTCAGGTATTTAAGATTAAAACCTATAGCACAAAAATGGGAGTCACATCAAACATGAATGCCAAATTTCGTAAAACCAATTGCGGTTCGATCTAACAATACTTATGTTACGAAAGAATTTTTCGTGGCCGGTATTCAATATTCAAAGCAGTCTTGTACCAGAATGAGTTACTCGGATTGGATTTGTCCATACCCACATTTAAGATACAGCCGTCATTTGGATTTGCAGTCAAAGAAAAGATGGTGAGCGCATCTGAAGGAAATTAATTTATCGGTTACATTATATGGATTACCGTATTGCTTTAAGACATTTCTTTTAATTGTTTAAATTGTACACTGACTTATGCATCTACGGATTACATTCTCGGCTCTCGCCATTGTTTCCCTTTCAATTTTATTTAGAGTGGTTCGTCTGCCGAAAGCCTTTTTATTTGCTTTGTTCTAATGCACCTGTGAAGGTTGTTTAGGTTTGACTTCAAAATAACGGGCCAAGACTGTAAATTGTATGACTATTTATAAAATCGATTTTATGAATATGGTGAGTTAATTAGATTTTATGAATATGGTGAGTTAATTAGATTTTATGAATATGGTGAGTTAGATTTTATGAATAGGACTACTCTTAGAAAAGTAACGTACAATTAAACATAAAGATATATTATGGAAGATTAGATAAAGAGCTGGCAGTTCTCACAATAATAATTAAAACTAGATAATGTAAAGGAAATATGCTGAAAATTTCAGTCAAATTGTTGCACTCTAAGCCGAGAAAACCTTATTTTAAAATCACTGTAGCCTTGATTGTCATTGCATGTACTGCTTTCACACATAAATTGGACACATAAAGATAGCATAGAGAGTCGATTATGGTCTTGTCTTTTCATGTTAATAAATGTCCAATTAATAGTTTACGGTATATAACATTTAAGGCCTAAAGAAAGACCAATGGCAGAATGCGCCATACAGCCGAGGCTAGATGTAGGGTATTGGAATCTGCTGAGGTTTGCAGAGTGATATACATGTAGTGAGGTCCCAGTCTATTGTGTATTATACAATGCAATTTCTTTTGACAGGAAACCTGTGAAGATGTTCAAGTGTTTCATCAATGTGTGATCTGTGATGAAATGTTTGGAGAGTACAGAGATCTAGAAATTCATAATAGAATTCATGTCAAAGAGGAAATCGGTGAAATCGAAAACTTTCATCAGTGTAGATTATGTGACGAAAAATTTAAATCGGATTCTGATTTAGAGGATCATTGTGAAGAGGTTCACCAGAAAGACAAAGAAAGTATTCTCCAATGTTGTGTATGTGAAAAACGATTTCTACAAATTGAGGATTTGGAACAACACAAGCTAAAGAATCATTGTGAAGAGTTACACCAGAAAGATGAAAAAGAAAGTATTCTCCAGTGTAGTGTTTGTGAAAAACTTTTTCTCCAATTTGAGGACTTGGAAAAACACAGCAGAACACATAAAGAAATTGAGCCGACTGACACCGAAAAATCCGACATGTTGAAGCTCTGTACTAAAAATAGTTTAAATATTATTCCTAAAGCATTTGAATGTGATGTGTGTAAGGAGTCCTACAGGTGTATCTCTCACCTGAAGGCTCACCAACGGACTCATAAAAAACAAAAGTCGTTGAATGTTTGCGAGATTTGTGACAAGCAGTTTAAATATCCATCCCAACTAGAAGCCCACATGCGGACTCATACCGGTGGAAACAGCGTCGAGTGTGAAATCTGTCATAAGAGTTTTTGCGAGAGTTCGGTGTTGAGGAAGCACATGATGATCCACACGGGTGAACGACCGTTTCAATGTTCGGTTTGTCCGAAGGCTTTTAACCAAAGCAGCAATCTCAAATCACACATGAGACTTCATACGGGAGAAAGGCCATTTAAGTGTAAATTATGTGAAAGCACTTTTTATACCGGAAGCAATCTACAAACGCACATGCGCTCGCATTCCGGCGAAAAACCGTTTTCTTGTAATATCTGTGATAAATCCTTCACACGAAACACTCATCTAACACGACACTTAAAGGCCGGACATTCGGGAGAGAAACCGTACAGTTGTTCTATATGTTTGCGATCGTTTACTCAAAAGAGCAACCTCGACGCCCACCTGAAATGTGTCCATAACGACGGATCAATGTCGAAAGATTTCATTTGTGGGATTTGTAACAAGGCTTTTATTCGAAGTAGTAATTTATATAGTCATATGAATGTTCACATGACCAAGAAAATGTTTAAATGTGACATCTGTTCTAAATCGTATAATCGGCAAAATTATTTGACGAAACATCGTAAATCTCACACCAAGGGACCTGACAGTGTATTGGTGAAAAGTTGAAAATGGAGTAAAATGGGTTCATAATTAATAAGGTTGTCGTGTAAAAAATGTTACCTTTCATGGTGTCAAAAACTGTTGTTGTAACAATTTGCCAAGGATTGTGGCCAACTTTCAACACTTGAAGGGGGGGGGGGTAAAATTTATTTAGGCCGTGTTGAATTGATTCCTTGTTTCTCCTCGCCCGCGCGCTTAGGTCGAGGACCCTGAAAATCGTGCGCTTATACGTTTTTAACACAAAAAAAAATATTCAAAAAATTACGTTAATAACATCTAAATAAAATTCTACCAAACATCAGAAGTCAATTCTCGTTGTTTATTCCTCGTTACGAACTAAATAAGTAAGTGCAGGGGGCCGCACTACACGCAAAACAAAAATCTACAAGATAAACCTGCGGACAAGACAGAAAATAGGCATTGCACCGAATAAACAAATATCAAATCAAGTGAATGGATCCGGTTGATAATACACATGTAGGGGCCCGCATACTATGGAATAAGTTACACTGTATATGATTGGATGAATTCCGCAAAATGGCGCGTGTAGCAGTCATTTCGGCTAATGAGAAAGCATATTATAAACTGTAAGACAATCGCTAATATTCAACCGCGAACCTGAATAATCAATTTTTTCATTGGCTAAAATTATAACTCATGTCATTATTATTCAAGTATTACCCAATCATATCTTGTGTAATAAATAACGCACGCCTTACAAAATGGTGAGCTATGCCGGGACATAGGTAAATTCGCGTACCGGTCGGCCTAATTTATTGATGTTCAAGGAAATAATAGTGGCCCCGTTCGCTCGTTTCTGGAGTTTAACAAACGAACGAACAAACGGGACCACTATTATTTCCTTGAACATCAATAAATAAATTAGACCGACCGGTACGCGAATTTACTTATCTCGACTCGACTTTGGTGGTTATTCCCAGCACTTTCACGTTCGATGATATTATCGAAACCATCTATAACTCAACAAGCGAATCAAATTATAACTGGAATGTTTCCATTGTATTTTAACACAAGAATACGGAAAATTTATATCAAAATATGGTTATTTCATTTTTTAAAAAGTTAAACAAAGAAGCCACTTGTTACCAAATTTTAGTTTGTTATTAAATTTATTTAATTAAATATTATCTGTGTTTTTATTCTAACCAATAATATAACTAGATTATTTATAATATTATTAAAAATGGTACACAACCCTCAGACTATATAGGTATTATGCCAGACCACTTTGTGTTTTGAAACCCACTTTGTGTTGTGTTTACCGCACTACCGCACATGATTGCCAGAGTGGTGGCAGGAGAAACAAGGAATCAATTCAACACGGCCCTTATCAAAACGCAAGTGTTGAAAAAGAGAGAGAGGTTTAACGTCCACTCACACAAATTAGGTCCTTACAGGGCTAACACATGGTTAATTTTATTTCAATAATTTGCTTGCGAGTAAGGGTCTTCTTTAACAGTGGAAGGAAACCGGAGGACCCAGAGAAAAAAACCCACGAGGTTGGACAGGTGACCCTACTCCTTTTCACGTACAAGCCAGGAATCGAAACCACTTCACTTGACTCAATGACAGACCTTGTGATCAGGCGTGCACACGTTAACCATTCGGCCATTCAACACCCCAGTCAGCATAGAATTTGGGCGCCCATAAATTTGGGCGCCCATATGTTTTACAGAACCAAATTGGTCCTAGATATTCCCCTGGTATGTTGTTACAGAATAAATGTTTTTGCTCGGGGATTGGGTGGTTAAATGGTCTAATATGTGCACTTTATGGATTAAACCATTATTTATTATTATACAAAGGAGATACATATGTACATTCATGACAATGTAAAAATAAATCCAAAAAGAATCTACTTCTTAAAGATAGCCCATGAAAACCGGCAAAAATTACACAATTTACATTGGCTTTAATCTGTTCCCTTCGAAAAAATTTTCTTTGTAATTATATCAATGTTGATTAGAATTGCTTTTGTATATATATAATAGAATTATTATTGTACACTAGAATTGTTATTGTATACATAGAATTGTTATGGTATACTAGAATTGTTATGGTACAAATGTATACTAGAATTGTTATGGTGTATTGTAATTAGTTATGAAATTAATGGCATTAAAGGCTCAATACCACTATTGTTGTAACTGAATTATATGTCCCAATCTTTATTCTGGTCAACAAATTGTACTATTTTACAATATTTCAATTAATTGATGATACAAATTTCATCTTAACACACCTTATTTAAAAATTTTGAAAAATTCAACATAATGGTTTAAGATGTCTAACGTAAACCTTTTCAAATGAAACTTCGATTTAAAAATATTTTCGAACCCTCTGGACAACAGGTAGGACACTTAAACATCTAGTACTTAGATAGAGATATTATTTATTTTCTGGAGCTTTCAAGCCAGCAAGAGTGTTATTGTCTCTTTAAATATGAGATATTGTTGAACTCAGTCACATGGATTTGAATAGATATTTCCATCCTAGTCATATCACTGACAAATCTGTAAGGCACGTGTCCAGATTTTCCGAACCCCCCTGCTGCTTGTATGCATCTAAACGAGCAGAAATAATGTCATAGAGCTTCTGATTTTATAAAATTCTCTGACAATTCCCCAGATATCATGACAAACTTGATATTGTCACCACCTTGGACACCCGCCAACCCTGCACAGATTCCTGACCATGGCGCTGCTAGTAGATATTATTAATATACTAATATGGAGAATAAGACTAGTCAAAGCTCTATAACCATGAGGTTGTATTGATATTACCCTTTTGATATTCCATGGCCTGTCGCACACTAGTTGTGTGTAGTACCCAAGGTATTAAAAGTGCAATAAACTTAAGTAAAACTTTGTAAAAAGTGAGAATAAGACTAGTCAAAGTCCTATAACCATGATATAATTGATATTACCCCCTTAATATGTCATGTCTTGTCCCATCCTGGTTGTGTAGTACCCAAGGTATAAAATGAAATTTCTCCATTATATTTTATGATTGGCTTACAGCTATTTTAGTGCAATATATTCAAGGAAAACTTTGCACAAAATGAAAATAAGACTAGTCAGTTCTTTTACCATGATATAGAGGATATTTGTCGTTTTAGAGTGAATAACATATTTTATTTCATCGAGAAGCAAGAAAACTTATATTTTCACGAATGCGTAGTATGAGTGAAAATATAAACGTTTTCTTGCTTAGAGATGAAATAAAATATGTTATTCACTCTAAAACGACAAATGTTCTATTTATTTTATGATTTTACAATCATTTTAGGTAAAAACAACATGGACTACTGCTAGCCAGTGGAATAACACTTTTATTTCACTGATAAAACGCGGTATTCCACTACTGATCATAAAATAAATAGATATATTTTATATCTTGTCCTACACTGGGGGAGCCACGGTGGCTAGTTGGTTAAGACGCTGGCTCGCTTGCCTGGAGGTCGGGTGTTCGATCCCTGCATTGGCCGAGAAAGTTCATCCAGATTTTCTGACATGGGTTTCCCCTTGTCAGTGGTGCAGAACAGAATTCGATATAAGTGTAGGCAGTAGTGCCGCTGCCCGTCTTCATTAGCCCAGTATAGGAGCAACATGTTTAAAAAACAGTGTGGTCTCGGTTGTCATTGCTACCATTGTTACAATAATAGATAAAGTCTTGAAATTTAATGTGTTCTGGAAAAGTAAGTAGTAGAAAATTTAATGTTTTCTGAAAAAGGAGACTTAAAGTGTTTTTAAAATGTTTGTAAAATACCTAAAATATATTTACAGGAAACTTGAGATATTATCGAGTGTTGTACGTGGGGGGTTCGATGGCTGAATGGTTAGCGTGCGCGCGCTGTATCATACAGTCTGTCATTGAATCGACTGGCGTGGTTTCGAATCCCCGTTTGTACGTGACAAGGAGTAGGGTTGCATGTCCAACCTCATGGGTTTACTCCGGGTCCTCCGGTTTCCTCCCACTGCTAAAGACCCCTACGTGCAAGCGAATTATTGAAATAAAATTAAAAACCATATGTTAGTCCCGAAATGACCTAGTTTGTGTCGAGTGGACTTAAACCCCATTTCTCTCTCTCTCTCTTCTCTCTCTCTCAGTGTTGTAGGTCTATGTTGATCATAGATTTCATTGTAAATAAAGTAATATACTATACATGTATTGTTCGGCTGGTTTTTTTTTGTTTTTAAAGAATTTTGGCTATTCCTGCACTTAGAGATCTATTGTTATGTACTGCTGTTCTACCCCCGTGTTAAATCCATACTAATATTTGTGACTGTTGTCTGTCTGTTTGTTCAGGGTTGGTAGCTACACTGGGGCTGTCCCGAGGCTGACATTTGGTGAATAGGGGTAGCTCGGATCGGGGAATAACAAAGGCTAGGTGACGTTGGACTACCTTTCCCGGTTTCAGAGTCATACAACTTCCTGTTCGTGGCTATACCCGTGTTATGCCGGGCCAGCCGTATTCTTTGGGTATGGGGGTTGGGATAGTTTAGTGGTCTAGAGTGTCACGCTTCCACCTCTAGCTGGCCGGTCACCTCTGGCTTGCGGTTGTGGTTTCGATCCCTGGAGTGAGCGTATGTGACTTGGAGATAAGGTCGCATTCTCAACATCGTGGGTTTACTCCGGGTACTCCGGTTTCCTCCCACAGGAAAGACCCGCGCATGTGTGCTAAGATAATAAAAATGAAAAAAAGACAACTAGTCTGCGGACGTTAAACACTATGAAGAAAATAATTATTTGTGTGTTTTTGTTTTTAAGGTGTAAGAAACTGGGATTTTTTTACATTATAATTAGCAAATTATTTCAACCATTCTGCATCCAAGTTAATATGACACCTGTTTGGACTGGTGTCCTTTTTGAAGATTTCCTGTCATGCAGGTTAGGTTCATACTAAAGAAACAGTGTTATTTTGCTCTCTCAACGACCAGGGTCGGATTAACTTCAAACATTGGAAAGGGGGCTGAATTATGAAAAGTTTAGGGTCAAGAATATTGCGAAAAATAGATTTGATTTGGTGCATTTCGAGATATATTCTAGGTGACTAAATAAAAGAAATATTGAACATTTTTTGGGGGGGTATTAGAACATAAGTTTAAAACTTCAATCAAGGTACGAATCCCAGCCAGTCCTTGAGAGAGAGAAACTAGGTCATTTCGGGACTAACAAAAAATACATATGGTTCAATTTTACGTCAATAATTCACTAGCGTGTAGGGGTCTTTACCATTGGTAGAAAACCCACGAGGTTGGACAGGCGACCCTACTCCTTTATCACGTACAACCGGGGAATCGAAACCAAGCAAATTATTGAAATAAAATAGAACCATATGTTAGTCCCAAAATGACCTAGTTTGTGTCCAGTGGAGGTTAAACACTATCTCTCTCTCTCCTCTCCTTTCTCTCCTCTGGAGAGTCACTATGATTAAGAGGGTAAGACGCTGGCTCGCTAGCCTGGAGGTCGGGTGTTCGATCCCTGCATTGGCCGAGAAAGTTCGTCCGGACTTTCCGGTGCGGTTCTCCCTTGTCAGAGATGCAGGACGGAGGGCCTGACAAGAACAGCTGTCTAGTCGTTTGGATGAGACGCAAAAACCAAGGTCCCGTGTACACATTGGTGTGCACGTAAAAGATCCCTTGACAATTGGAATTCGATGTAAGAGTAGGCTGCAGTGCCGCTGTCTGGGCAAAATTTCCCTCAAAACACACTGTGTGACGTATGCACGTCTTCATTAGCCCAGTTCGGAGCAGAACAGTAGGATGTTAAACCCCATTTCATTTCATTTCATTTCATTTCATTTCATTTCTCTCTCTCTCTCTCTCCCTTTCTCTTTCTCCATATTTATGTCATTGACAGGATGACTAAAAATCTAGAGAAACTAAACTAACATTATACATGGTTTATTGCTCTAATATACACCTAATCAAGACGACAACGTTCCTGGGAGCCGTGGTGACTCAGTGAGTAAGAGGTTTTGGGTTCGCTCCCAGTGTTGACCGAGAAAGTTCCTCAGGATTTTTCAGCGTGGTTTCCCCCCCTTGTCAATGGTGCAGGCCTAACAATGAAGTTGAGAAACAATATCTAATCGTTCGGATGTGACAAAAACCAAGGTCTTGTGTACACAAAAGAATCCCAGACAGAATTCAAAATAAGAGTAGTCTGGAGTGCTGCTGTCTGGGCAAAATGTCGTTCATTAGCCCAGTCGGTGCAGAAAAGTAAGGACGTTGAACCCCATTTCATTTTATCTAAACAATATGTCAAACATAAACCATAACTCCTAAACCATAAAATCACAAAAATATAGTTACATGTAATCTAAAATTCTGGATATTCACTCCAGTCATTAAAATCATTACTATTATTTAATTTCTAATTGAAGTCTGTCTTCATTAGCCCAGTATAGGAGCAAAACATTAAGACATTAAACCCCATTTCATATCATCTAATTGATGATGCATTATCTAAGAGTACCTGGTGTGAGCGTATGTGGCATGGAGATAGGGGCGCCTTCTCAACCTCGTGGGTTTCCTCCGGGCACTCCGGTTTCCTCCCACTGCTAAAGACCTCTACGCGCAAGCGAATTATTGAAATAAAATTAAACCATATGTTAGTCCCGAAATGACCTGGTTGTGTCGAGTGGACGTTAAACCCCATTTCTCTCTCTCTCTCTCTATCTAAGAGTAGGTCTTAACGCCGATTTCAGGGCAAAATTTCCATCATAGCACACTGTATGGTGTATGCCCGTCTTCATAACCTAGGTTGGAGCAGAACAGTAGGAAGTTAAACCCCATTATAAACTAATCACTATTATAAACTAATATAATGTTCTTTCGTCACGATGAGTTCTGATGTGATCCTGCAAGTATTCATGGACACAATTTCCCTCATTGCACACTGTATGGCATATGTCCATCTTCATTAGCCGCCAGTCGGAGTGTCAGAGCAGAACAATAGGACGTTAAAGTAGCTAAGTCTCTAAAACAATATCATCCAAATTCTTCAACATTGAAAACACGAATTATTTGTCAATTTAAATCCACATTGATGTTGTGATCGTACCGGAAAAATATGGGCTTCAGATATCCAATATTCAAGACAAAATAAACATTTTAGCATTGGTACACAAATCGTATACCATAATGCTTTTCAGCGTCATTTATAACAAGGGACTCGAAAAACGAGGCTAGGTATATTCCACAAGTCATGTCAAATGGTGACGTCATATTCTTATCTGGAGAGCATGCGCAATAAATGCTATCGGTGTAGAATGGAATAACAAGACGCTAGAGATTGCCATTCGCTCAAGACTGACGTATTTCGCTGAATATAACTGATTAGAAATTACAGTAAAACAGAAATGATTTAATGTAAATCAGTTTATATACATTCATATTACATTATTATATGTGTTGCAACCCATTTGTGTCAATTTCTAGGTCCTAAATATTAGCGACTTAGCTCCTTTAAACCACATTTCATGTTTTTTTGTCATGATGAGTTCTGAACTTCTGATGTGATCCTGCAAGTATTCATGGACACAATTTTCCTCATAGCACACTGTATAGCCAATCATATGTCCATCTTCATTAGCCCAGTCATTTCATTTCACTACTATAAATTCCCGGTTGTACATGACAAGGAGTAGGGTTGCCTGTCCAATCTTGTGGGTTTTCTCTGGGTCCTCTGGTTTCCTCCCAGTGCTCGAGACCCCTAGGCGCAAGCGAATTATTGAAATAAATATTGAACCATGTGTTAGTCCCAAGATGACATACTTTGTGTTGAGTGGACGTTAAACCCCATTTCATTTCATCGCGCTACTATAACCTACTATGATGTTTTTTCATCATGATGAGTTTTGTGTTAGTCCCAAGATGACATACTTTGTGTTGAGTGGACGTTAAACCCCATTTCATTTCATCTCGCTACTATAACCTACTATGATGTTTTTTCATCATGATGAGTTCTGATGTGAACCATGTGTTAGTCCCAAGATGACATACTTTGTGTTGAGTGGACGTTAAACCCCATTTCATTTCATCTCGCTACTATAACCTACTATGATGTTTTTTCATCATGATGAGTTCTGATGTGAACCATGTGTTAGTCCCAAGATGACATACTTTGTGTTGAGTGGACGTTAAACCCCATTTCATTTCATCTCGCTACTATAACCTACTATGATGTTTTTTCATCATGATGAGTTCTGATGTGATCCTGTAAATATTCATTCCTTGTAAATGATTTACTACAGAATCCACAGTTAAATGGTTTTTCACCCGTATGGGTTCTGAAGTGTCTAAGCTGATTACTCTTTTCCGTGAAAGATTTACCGCAAACATCACATTTATGGCGTTTCTCGCCAGTATGAGTTCGGATATGCCTCAGTTGATTTCCCTTGTCGTTAAATGATCTGTTACAAACATCACATTTATAGGGTTTTTCACCCGTGTGGGTTCTTTTGTGTCTCTGTAGATTTCGTTTGTCAATAAAGGTCTTGGCACATATTTCACATTCATAGGGTCTTTCACCGGTGTGAATTCTCAAATGGGACCTTAAACTACAATTCTCGCTGAACGATCGACTACAAATGGTGCATGAAAATGGTTTAACTCCCGTGTGGGTTCTAGTATGGGTATTAAGTTCGTTGCTCTGAGCAAACGACTTCCCGCAGAAATCGCACTGATACGGCTTCTCACCTGTATGCGTTCTTGTGTGTCTCTGTAAATTACCCCGATCCGTGAACGATCTATCGCAAATTTCACATTTATGGGGTCTGTGCCCTGTGTGTATTCTCATGTGGGTCATTAAGTTGCCCTTTTCGTTAAAAGTTTTCTGACAAACGCCGCATTGAAAGGGTTTCTCCCCCGTGTGAACTATATTATGCTTGCGTAGATTATGAACATCGATAAATGCTTTACCACAAACATCACACTTATATGGTTTGTCGCCCGTATGAATCCGCATGTGTTTTTGAAGGTTATTCTGTTTACTGAAAGCTTTAGCACACACACCACAACTAAAAGGCTTATCACCAGAATGAACAGAAGCATGGGCTGCCAACTTACTACTTTTATTAAATGATTTACCACAAACATCACATTCAAAAGTTTTTATTGAAGACGTCGGAAGCAAGTTCGTCTCCGCGACTTTATTTCTTTCGTCCGTGTTTTCTGTTGACTCGTCTTCTTTAACAGACCTTTTACAATCAGCGTCCGATTTCGTTACTTCAGTTTCATCCCTATGCTTTGTCTCTAATTGTATTGGACCATATTCATCTTCAGTTTTCTCTTCTTTCAGATGCCCTTTTTTGTGGTTTTCAAATTCATCGGATTGTTGAAAGGTTTTACCACACAAAGTACACTGATCAACACTGTTTACATCAGTTGTTTCCTGTAATAAAATTTGTAAAATTATATTGATTTCCTTTAAACAGATAGAGAAATGGGGTTTAATGTCCACTTGACACAAACTAGGTTAATTTGTCATTTCCTGTATTGCATGCACATATATGGGTCTTTAACAAGGGGGGACCGGAGAAAACCCAGGAGGTTGGAAGACAGAGAGAGAGAGAGAGAGAGGGAGGGGTTTAATGTCCACTCTACACAAACTAGGTCATTTTGGGACTGACATATGGTTCGATTTTTATTTCAATAATTCGCTTGCGCGTAGGGGTCTTTAGCAGTGGGAGGAATCTGGAGGACCCGGAGAAAACCCACGATGTTGGACAGGTGACCCTACTCCTTGTCACGTACAACCAGGGAATCAAAACCATGCCAGTTGATTCAGTGACAGACCTTATGATACAGCGCACACGTGCTAACCATTCGGCCATCCACACCCCCCCCCCCCCCCCAGAGAAAGAGAAATGGGGTTTAATGTTCATTTTTCATTTCCAATTCATTAGTTTCCTGCAACAAATTTTTGCTATACATGTACTTCAATTATGTATTAAATGGGAATTATGGGTGATTAGGTAAAGTGTTGGCAGTTTTTGCTATAATTGTTAAAAATAGATAATGTAAATAGAATATGCTGAAAATTTCAGTTAAATTGATTATTCATTTTTACACTTAATCAATGACAGACCAATTGAAATGAATTTGTTTGTGTTTTTGAATCACAAAATTCTACTTGAAAATAGAGAAATGATTGTGAACAATGAAGAATCACGGTGAAAAATAGGTGGTAAGGATTCCAAAATAGCCTTTGAACCGAGGTGGTGTAAAGCATTTGTTTCATATTACATTTGTATAGTTATAGGGACAGGCAGTAACCATGAGAGGCTAGTCCGATCAGACACTGAGTGTTACTTAAAGTAGCTAAGTCTCTAACTCAATATCATCCAAAATCTTCAACATTGAAAACACGATTTATTTGTCAAATTAAATCAACATTGATGTTGTAATCTTACCGGGAAAAGATGGGCTTTTGATATCCAATATGTAAGACAAAATAAACATTTTACCATTGGTACACGAATCGTGTACCATAATGCGCTTCAGCCCCAGTTGTAACAAGAGACTCGAGAGACGAGGCTAGACACATTACACCAAATCAAACGGCGTATGTAGACTGGAATAAACAGACGCTAGAAATTTGCACTCGATTGAGACTGCTGGCTTATTTTGCCGAACATAACTGATTTGAAATTGGAGTAAAAACGGAAACCATTGAATGTAAATCAGTTTATATACATTCATATTACAGTATTATATGCGTTGCGACCCACTTTTGTCAATTTCTAGGTCCCAAATGTTAGTGATTTAGCTCCTTGAAGTAACTAGTAGGATAGGCCTACCTTGGAGACATTGCTGCTAATAAATAAATAAATACAAAAGAGAAGAAATCTCACCATTTTTGTGTATATTTATTCACGAGGAAGGGGTTTGTACCAATGGACGGTAGATAATGTAGGCTGTCACTGCCACTGGCTGAAACTCTGAGCACAAAAAAGGCCGTCAGTTTTGACTTTCTTCAATTTCTACCCAACAAACTACAGTTAGCATTTGATGTATCTGTTCCCGATATCTAGACATTCTTTACATCAAAATCATATAAATAAGGCCAAACAAGAATCTCAACCAAAAGAGGAACAACAAAAATATCTTTGACTTTGCTAAAGCATTTCCTGTCTAGTCTCACTTAGGCTGTATCTTGATTTGACCAGTAGATCTATTCAACCCGAATAATTCACATTTACACCGTCTAGTAGGCCACATTATTATTGTTCGGCTCCACGAACAGACTGGCCAGGCAGTGAATCTCGGCCAATTATATTAACCGTCACTGCTGGGCGAACCAAGCAGACAAAAGATGAACACTCCTAATAACTAGAATTTCAAAATATTTGCTTTGAGGAGCATTTAAGTATATTATTTTGAAGGGCGCAGGATTGTATGGACTTTTGTTAATCTTCTGCAGTTGCTGAAGTTTTGAGTCCTTTGGATGAATGACCCGTAAAGAATCTGTATATTATATTCCTGGGGCGGGGTACTATAAACACTTGGGCATGTTACAATATGTAATTAGTATACCTTAAAATAAAATGTATGGCTGCTTTACCTTGACTGTTGGGATTCGCGTTGGTCGGGTGAGTAGGCCGGGCGGCATGTTCGTTTCTAAAGTAGGCCGTGCATGTAAGTTCCACGGGATTTTCGGGTCTGTTGCCCTCGTCAGTGGTTGAAGACAAAGGACCCGGCATAGAGCAACGTCTAGTTGTTAGAACGGGGCGGGTGGGGGGATCGGGTGTCTGTGTACACGTTGGCATGCATATTACAAGAATATACCTGCACATCGCTGCGGTTTTGCACAAACTGCCCTCAACAGAAAGTTGAAAATGAGTATCATTTGCTCATCGAATGCAACCGCTATGAGGAACTCCGCAAGACAATTGTTTATAGGGGATTTGAGACCCAAATCTATCCATTTTCTTTCGAAAACATGTTTAACCCGTCGTTTGCTCTGGCAAAAGCAGTATGCAACTTTGTGCATCAGGCTTTCAAAATAGGCGATGTGGCACCCACTTCTATAACCCCCCCCCCCCAAAAAAAAAAAAAAACTAGAAAAAAAAAATAAAAATAAATAACTAACAATTCAAAGGCCTCTTCACGTTTGGTTTAAGCGACTATGACATACATTCAAAACTTTGGTTTATATTTTGCACATACTGCCTCAATGTATATAAATGTACATTTCATCCACTTTTATGTATCTTTCACATCTACTTTTATATATTTTTCATCCATTTTTTTTTATGTATTTTTCATCCACTTTATAATGTATTTAGCATGCTGACTGTAATGTATAATTTACATGCTGCCCGAAAAGGGTGTTTTATGTAATAAAATCTATCTAATCTAATCTATTTAAAAGAACACTAGGCAGTCGAAATTCGACTAAGTGTAGTCGCACAAGCCGATCTCCGAGCAAAATCTTACGTGTATTACGCAACATGGTATATGTCTGTCTCCAATAACCCGTGCAGATCGGTAGGGACGTTACGTCTCAGTTCATTTCATTCCAACTGGACTCCGGGAAGATAAATCAGGTGATAAAGTGAGTCATTCGGGTTCATTACAAGCCCAATCCATTTATTACATACAACATTAGATCAAAATGGCGTAAATATATTTATTTGGTTTTTTTATTAGCACTATCTGAGATTCGCTCACATTACTAGTTCATCAGTATTAAGAGTGGTGTTCATTGGTGGCTTTCTAAAGAAAACAATTCAAAGCCATTTTGGTGAGTTGCAGTATAACACAAGGCCTTCTCAGATTTTGATCGCATAAACTGTGCGTTTTCCTTTGTTTTCTTTGTTCGAAGAAAACGGTAAGGAACCCGGAAATCTGACAATTTGTAACTAATTAGATTGATAAACTGTTATTTCAATACACCCACCATTATTTCAACTCAGGGGGTTGGATGGCCGAATGGTTAGCATGTGTGCGATGTATCATATTCATAAGGTCTGTCATTGAGTCAACTGGCGGGGTTTCGATTCCCTGGTTGTACATGACAAGAAGTAGGGTCACCTGTCCAACCTCGTGGGTTTTTTCTGGGACCTCCACTGCTAAAGACCCCTATGCGCAAGTGAATTGTTGAAATAAAATTGAACCATGTGTTAGTCCCAAAATGACCTAGTTTGTGTTAAGTGGATGTTAAACCCCATTTCTCTCTCTCTTTATTTCAACTCATATGACAATAATTATATAGATTTGATGACCTGCCAAATTGCCATTTTTAATTTAATACAGGTATCGTAATGTTTTTCAAAATACATATTTTGTGAGGCATTTTTGAAAAAAAAAACCACAACGATATGAGGTGAACTTTGGTAAATTATGCTACATTTAGGGTCTTACTGCAGTGTCATACTCATAATGCTGACATTGTTTAAAGGTATGACATTAATTCCTGTACTCCAACATGTAGGCCTATATGAGACGTTGTCTTTTCATAATATCCGAACAACTATAAGTTGTCATTTGTCAGACCCTCTGTCGTGCACCACTGACAAGAAGGAATGAACATACTGTGTGCTATGAGATAAATTTTACCCAGACAGTGGCGCTACAGCCTACTCTTATATCAAATTCCAGCTGCCAAGGATTCATCTTGTACATGCATGCCAATCTGTACACAGGACTGTGGTTTTTTATCCCATCCAAAGGACTAGACATTGTCCCTTGCCAGACCCTCTGTCCTGCACAACTTTCTTGGGATCGAACATGAGACGTCTTTCAAGTTGCTAGTTGTCACGACTGTTGAGTCTGTGTCAAGTCTCGGGTGTCGATAAATATTTAAGGTTGAGTAGCGAGTCAGGTCTTTGATGAGATTTAAGTCGAATTTGAGTCTGAATTGTGGGACTTTCGTTCTCACCTCGTTACAAGAACAGTTGCAACATGTCATTATAGAATTTTCAATTCATGCTTGACAAGAACAGCTTTCTAGTTGTTCGGATGGGACGAAAAACCAAGGTCCCGTGTACACATTGGCTTGCACGTAAAAGATCCCTTGACAGTTTCCCTCATAGCAGACTGTATGGCGTATGCCAGTCTTGATTAGCCCAGTTCGGAGCAGATCAGTGGGACTTTAAACCCCATTTCATTTCATTTCAATTCATGCATTAAAATTTAATTTTTTTTAAATTTCAGATAATTCCAGGCATCTGACATAAATTAGAACAAGAGGACGTCTGTTATTTGTTTTGGCACCAGACTTTGCAGATTATTTACTTTAAACAATATTTTATTCATTTGAAAAGGACTGAACAATAGACAAATAGATATTAATTTACAAATACTATTAAACAAGATGGAAATGTCAATAACCAACATTTGCCAGGCACGATATATCCACATTTTGCAAGAGATAGTGTAGCTTAAATAATATTTTATTCATTTGAAAAGGATTGAACAACAGACAAAGCCTTTATAAATTCTTACCCAGGGATACAGAAAATAATGAACAATATAATTTTTTTAAGATTGTCCCAATATACATGCATAATCTATCTTGGTTGAAATGGGAATACAACCAAATATGTGCATACTGAGAAGAATAATGTAATATATTGCTTACTATTTGAGACTACTGAAGGAAAAACAAATATCTACTCAATGAGTCTTGATATATTGTTTACCAACTTAGTCTGAAATATTATGTGACTTACTAAGTACTAGAGATTACTGAACTCAACAAATATGTCTACAGCTGAGTAGAGATTACTGAACTCAACAAATAAAGACACCAATGAACCGAGTCTGAAATCTAGATATTACTGAACTCAGCAGAGATGTCTGCAGCTGAGTAGAGATATAATATTGCGCAGAGATTACTGAACTCAACAAAGATGTTTGCAACTGAGTAGAGATATAATATTGCGCAGAGATTACTGAACTCAACAAAATGTTTGCAGCTGAGTAGAGATATAATATTGCGCCAAGATTACTGAACTCAACAAAGATGTTTGCAGCTGAGTAGAGATATAATATTGCGCAGAGATTACTGAACTCAACAAATAAAGACATCAATGAACTGAGTCTGAAATCTGATATGGCTTACTACTAGAAATTACTGAACTCAACAAAGATGTCTGCAACTGAGTAGAAATTTAATATTGCGTAGAGATTACTGAACTCAACAAATATGTCTGCAACTGAGTAGATATTTAATATTGCATAGAGATTACTGAACTCAACAAAGACGTCAATGAACCGAGTCTGAAATATGATATGCCTCACTATTACATATTATGGAAGCAAATAAAAAGGTCTACAATGGAGAGGAGATATAATATTGCTTAGAGATTATTAAACTCAACAGAGTTGTCAGTGAACCGAGTCTGAAATTTGATATGGCTCACTACTACATATTATTAAAGCATAATAATCCTTGAGTGGCATTTAGTGATTGAGCACATTAAAAAAAAACACAACACAATTTATGTGGAAAACAATCACTGGTTTATACACATATAGCACAACGTTTTGACACCCAATATTTGAGTTTACTGACTCCAACTGGAGATTACTGACCAAAAATTGGGGATTACTGACCCCAACTGGAGATTACTGGCCCTGACTGGAGATTACTGGCCCTGACTGGAGATTACTAAACTCAATTGGAGATTACTGATTCCAGCTGGAGATTACTGACCTTGACTGGAGATTACTGACCTTGACTGGAGATTACTGACCCCAACTGGAGATTACTGACCCCAACTGGGGATAACACTAACTAGTCCTGAAGTCAACTAAGAAACCATGGCAACAGATATTGTGGTTGTGGACCGAAGCATTAAATGTGAGGAATGTACATGTAGTGTTGCCACGGGAGACGAACCATGTGACATTTGTAAGCAGACGTCTAACTCAGACCATTGTGTTCTAGACTCTGTCAAATCTGAACCTCACGATGATTTTCGCAGTGATGATTTTAGCAGGGATGTTCTTAGCAGTGATGATTTTAGCAGTGATGTTTCGAGTCGTAAAGCATTTCATGAAAGTGACATTTCGAACCACCTTGATATTAAGCCAAATATTGATCCATTAAATTCCGGCTCCGATTATCAACCAAATGCCCTAATTCAAACAGAGGAACTTTATGAATGTGATGTATGTAGTAAAACATTTAATGAAAGGGATATTGTGAACCACCTTACCACACACAGTGATATTAAACCATTTAATTCTACCTCCGACTTTCAGCCAAATATTGATTCATTAAATTCTACCACCGGCTCTCAACCAAATGCCCTAATTCTAACGGAGGAAAGTTATGAATGTGATGTTTGTAGTAAATCATTTAATTCACAGGACAGTTTAATAAATCACCGTGAAATACATACAGATATCAAACCTAACGTATGCCGCGATTCATTTGACTCTAATGACTTTATACCAGATTTTATCCAATTTCAAGCGAAGCAAAACTCTTATGAATGTGATGTTTGTAGTAAATCATTTAACAAAAAGACAACCTTAACAACTCACATGAAAATTCACTTGGATGTCAAACCTAACGTATGCCGCGATTCATTTGAATCTAATGACTTTATACCAGATTTTATCCAATTTCAAGCGAAGCAAAACTCTTATGAATGTGATGTTTGCAGTAAATCATTTAACAAAAAGACAACCTTAACAACTCACATGAAAATTCACTTGGATGTCAAACCCTATAAATGTGGTCTTTGCGACAAGGCGTTCCGTCTTAACGGGGATCTACAACGACACATCAAAATTCACACGGGAGAAAAGCCATATAAATGTGACATTTGCGACAAAGCGTTTATTAAAAAGAGTCATCTCCATCGACACATTATCACGCATACGGGCGAAAAAAACTACAAGTGTGACATTTGTAATAAATACTTCACTACTAGCTTCTATCTTGTTCGACATTCCAGAATTCACACCGGAATCAAGCCCTTCCAGTGTCAGATATGCAGCAAGCTGTTTATGTCCGTCGGCGAATTAAAACGGCATCTCAAAATTCATTCGGGGGAAAAACCTTACGAATGCGATGTATGTGGTAAAACTTTTTCTTGTAAAAGTCATCTGAAGTATCACGGGCGAACCCACACGGGGGAGAAGCCGTTTAAGTGTGAGATTTGTGGGAAGTCGTTTAATAGTAACAGCCATCTACATCGTCATATAAACCTACATACAGGAGAACGGACGTATAAATGTGATGTTTGTGGTAAATCATTTAATGATAACAATTACCTACAAGGGCATCTCAAGACACATACCGGTGAAAGACCGTTCGTGTGCGACATTTGCAACAAGTCGTTTGGATATAGCAGTGATTTAAAGACTCATAAGAGAATTCACTCGGGCGAGAAACCGTTCCATTGCGATGTTTGTAGTAAATCGTTTAGTTCTCGGAAGGTTCTGCGCATACATTTTAAAATTCATACAGGCGAGAAAGCTTATAAATGTGATGTTTGCGATAAAGCATTTAGCACTAGCAGCCATTTGCAAAGGCATTCAGTTATTCATACCAGGAAGAAACCATTTGTCTGTGATGTGTGTGGTAAATTATTCAGTGTCAAAGGTTATCTACAGAGACACATTAAAACTCATGATATCAAGGAACTTGATGATGAAGTCTACAGTGATAGTAGATCTAGTCATCCAGAGGTGCATATTAATGAAGATATTAAGTCAATCTAGTTTAATAACCAGGGCACTGATAGCCTAGTATAGCTATGTTTTGAAGAAAAACCAGTTGTTTGTGGTGATAGTCACAGTCGAGTCTCGTGAATTTAAACGATAGTTCTATTGTGATGTTCAAGACTTATATGGGGTGATAGTCTCATTAAACAAGACTCTCAGTATACCCTATCAAAGTCTCATGAAGTTAAATGATAGTTCTAATGTGATGTTCAAGACTTATATGTGGCAATAGTCACAATCAATAAGACTCCCAATATACTGTATCACGAGTCTCAATCAACTATACTCTCAATATAATGCATTAGTCTCAATCAACAAGAGTCTTGTGAAGTTAAATGATAGTTCTAATGTGATGTTCAAGACTTATATGTGATGATAGTCACAATCAGCAAGACTTACGTCATGAGTATGGTGCCACATGCTGAAAGACATCTAAGACACTATTGATACTTATAGCACTATTTACTCACTAACACTTTATTTATTAAAGGGGCATTATGTCAGTCATTTTCTCAATCCCTATAAAATTGAAAATCGCTCTCCTTTACAAAGTCTTTGGTGGTTTATTATCATTTACGAAACTAGGAATGACCTCCTTACATGCAGTTATTGATCTTCAGAACTAATTCCAATACACACAACTAATCACTCTCCTTAATATTAGATCACTCTCCTTAATTTTTAAATCACTCTTCTTATCGAACCTGGAAGAGCTTTTTTAGAGTGATTTTTTTCAATTTGTTGAGGGGGAGCTTTTTTTCGACTCTCCTCTAAAATACAAACAACAACGACTGATTATGTAAGATTTAGATAAAGAGCTGGCTGTTCTGGCTATAATTTTTCAAAAATAGATAATGCAAAATGAATATATTGAAAATTTCATTCAAATTACTTAGTTGTAGTTTTGACAAGATGTGTGCATTGATCGTAAACACGGTGCTGGTCATTCGAGTCTTAGCCTCGCTTCTCCATTTTTAGATTAAATCATTAAATGGTCAAACTGTTCAAATCGTCCTTAAATGTTATATAAACTATCAAAATAGTTTATATAACATTTAAAGGGACTATCCCGATTTGAACACAGTCTCAAAAATAAAAGTCTGAGTATGTATGAAATTTAAGCGCCAAAATATAGAGGAATGGTGTATTTACCGTGTCTCAAAATTTCAGCTCAAAATATTGAGTCGTTTGGACGTGAACGTCAAAACTGCTTCTTCGGACACGTAACCCTTTTAAAATTTCGGGTCAATTTTTTCGTTGGGTGACCTGATAATAGATTCCCGTCCCTTGAGAGGTCTATACAGCAAATGACCCATATGCTGTACTTGATAACGAAAACTAAATTTCACCTACACATTATTTTTATAAAAATATGTCTGGTTTTATCCAGACACCGTATAATACAGCTTGGGATACCGGTTTCCATTTCCAGATGAAGACTGACGGGTTTAAGTTGTTTGAAAACGTATCACAAATATTGAGTTAGTTGCTCGGCCCTTAAACAGTTTTATTCTCCCAAAAATTATCGGGATTAGCCCTTTAATGCCCAAAGAAAGACCTACAATAGGCAGATTTAGCCCTTACATAATACCTGATTAGCTTTTAGCGTTTTCAACTGTCAGATTATCGCTATTCAGGAGACGACCACTGACAAGACCGGGCACATTATTTATATTATGTATTTTTTTGTATATCATTGTTTTGTTTTTCATTTAGAGTGAAGGCTACAGTGAACACTTACGACTGGCCCCCTGGATCCATTTACTTGATTTGATATTTTGTTGTTTATTTCTTGCAATGTCTATGTAGTTTACAGGTTTGTGTTGTCCACAGGTTTGACTTGTTGGCACACCATTTGTCTTGTCCAAAAGGTTTATCATGTTGTTATGTAGTTTGTCTTGTCAGCACATAGTTTGTCTTGTCAGCACAGGGCTATACTATATACCGGAAAATACCGGTAAACAACTGGAAAACTACCAGAAAACACTAAATACCGGAAAACACCCTAAATAGGTGACCCGGAGAAGGGCTATACTATAAACCGGAAACTAACCCTAACCCTAACCCAGGCACACAGATGACTAGGCTCCCGGTTACCTATTTAGGGTGCCAGTCTCCAGGTTACCTATTTAGGGTATTTTCCGGTATTTAGGGTATTTTCCGGTATTTAGTGGTTTTCCGGTATTCAGTATAAAATGGTGTTTTCCGGTTGTTTTCCAGTGTTTTCCGGTATATAGTATTACCGTCAGCACATAGTTTGTCTTGTTCACAGGTTTGTCTTGTTAGCACGTAGTTTGTCGTGTTCACACATAGTTTGTGTCTTGTCAGAATGTTTTGCTTTGTGTGTAGTGTGGTCCTCCTGTACATGTATATATATATAACTCTACCCGATTCACCTTCAATAATCATCAACAAATGTCCCTTCGCCTGCATGTTTTATTTCATGAGATTTGAATATCTGCTATGTGGCCTTCCTAATGGTACAATTAATAAATATAGATAATTGCTAATAACCCCTCTTACTCTGCAAAAATGGAAGGATAATTCTGTAAGTACATGGAGAGAGAGAGAGAGAGAGAGAGAGAGAGATTGAGTTAAACGTCCACTCGACACAAACTAGGTCATTTTGGGACTAACATATGGTTTATTTTTATTTCAATAATACGCTTGTGCGTAGGACCCGGAAAAACTCACGAGGTTGGACATGCGATCCTACTCCTTGTCACGTACAACCGGGGAATCAAAACCACACCAGTTGACTCAATGACAGACTTTATGATACAGCGTGCACATGCTAACCATTTAGCCCCCTATAAGTAGCAGTTACTACATGTAGTTCTAATCGAACTCGGTGTTGATTGAGGTTGGATGAATGATTAGCGCATGCTTGTTGTATCATTAGGTCTGTCATTGAATCAACTGTCATGGTAGGGTCGCCTGTCCAACCTTGCGGGTTTTCTCCGGGTCCTCCAGTTGCCTCCCACTGCTAAAGACCCCTACACACAAGCAAATTAATTGAATAAAATTGAACCGTATGTTATACCCGAAATGACATAATTTGTGTCAAGTGAACGTTAAACTCCATTTCTCTCTCTCCCGATTCATTTTGACGCAAGTATTAAAATTTAGTGATGGTCCCTAAAACCAAATTTTCCAGTCTGTTTATAAATATTATAAACTAGGTCATTTCGGGACTAACTAAATATTTGAACTAAATATGGTTCAATTTTATTTCCATAATTCGCTTGCGTGTAGGGGTCTTTAGCAGTGGGAGGAAACCGGAGGACCCGGAGAAAACCCACGAGGTTGGACAGGCGACCCTACACCTTGTCACGTACAACTGGGGATTCAAAACCACGCCAGTTGACTTTATGATACAGTGCGCACATGCTAACCATTCAGCCATCCACCCCCCCCTAGTCTATTTATGAATCCAGTAAGATTTTTTTTTTTTTTATTGACTTACCTCACATCATTGTAAAGATCACACGCTACGATTGAAATAGTGGTTTTAATCGTGGTGATCCTATCACGTCTTATCATAAATTGAGGTCAGTCGTAGCAATCTCGTTGACCGTATCGAAACGTATCATCACTTAGCAGATCGTGGACTCAATAGGGACAAACCTATCTTAACGAATCGCATGATAGTGGGAGTCTGGCATCAAGAATAATACAATGACAGACTTAAATTAAAGATGTGAAATTGGCATCTCTAAATGGACTCGGTGGGTGGGGTGGGGCAATGGTTTAAGACGTGTGCGTTAGATCATAAGGTCTGTCATTGAGTTTCGATACCCTGCTTGTACGTGACAAATTGATGAGTAGGGTCATCTGTCCAACCTCATGGGTTTTCTCTGGGTCATCTGGTTTAAGCGAATTATTGAAATAAAAGGTTAATCCCGAGATGACCTAGTTTGTGTTGATCGGACCTTAAAGTTACAATTTCATATTTTTAAGTTATATTTTTAAAATGTATTAAAATGAAGCCCTAAAATAGATGGTATCTATAAACAGTCGTACCCTGTTAAAGAATAATCCTATTAATCCTATAATTCACTATTGCCAGTTGAGAAAAATATCATTTTCAACTTTAAATTCAAACGTTTGAAGATAGCAATTCCATGGGGGGGGGGGGGGAAATAGAAAAACAAGGGAGGTAATTGTGTTATTATTTGTGGGGTCAAAGGATTTTTTAAGTGGGAGAATAATACCTATGATCGTATAATAAGGAGTTGACAACCTATTGAGCAAAAGACATAGAAATAATTATGTTTTGACTTCTATAAAATATGAAATAGTAACTTTAAACGCCATGATTACACCCCATATCTCTCTCAATATCAAATTTCTCATGGTTTAATCCACTGGTTATCAACCTTTTTTCGCCAACGACACACCTTGGAACACCTGGCTAAATATATATGAAAAATATTTGAATTTTGCAAAATAAAAACATGGCAAGTCATAGACGACAGACTGGTCATAGACACATAGTAAGACTCAAACTAAATCAAGAAAAACACAGCTGGTCTATGAACTTAATTCATTGCATTGTTTCGAATTTCACCAGTCAAATAGCTGGTGCTGTTCCAAATTTCGTGGCACACTTAGGAAGATCTCATGGCACACTTGTGTGCTGCGGTGCTGCGGCACACTGGTTGAGAATCACTGGTTTAATCCATGTAAATATGTAGCAACACTAGATAACATCCAAGCTTGGGTGGAATCAAATTTCAAACATTGGCTAAGTGGGTAAGACGCTGGCTCGCTAGTCTAGAGGTCGGGTGTTCGATCCCTGCATTGGCCGAGAAAGTTCATTCAGATTTTCCGGCGAGCTTCCCCTAGTCAGTGATGCAGGACGGAGGTCCTGACAAGGACAGCTGTCTAGTCCTTCGGATGTTACGAATAAAACTGAGGTCCCGTGTATACATTGGAATGCACATAAAAGATCCCTTTGCAGTTGGAATTCGATATAAGAGTAGGCGATAGTGCCGCTAACCGGGCAAAATTTCCCTCATAGCACACTGTATGCCGTATGCCCATCTTCATTAGCCCAGTATA